AAAATTTACTTTTTACAACTGCTGTTATATACTACAACAATAGAGCAGGGTTTTTTTTTTTTTATATATAACTGAATCAAACAATTGATAATATCATTTCTCTCATCAAATACTGGAGAACATTGAAGATTCAAACATCACAGCTTCAAAAAAATAGTGTTTTGAAACATAAATTTTTGTTTCATTTTGTTTGTTTCATATCGGGAGGGTTTTTATTTTATTTCCGTTTTTCTGCCATTCTGTTTAGAGCACTACCGGCCACGAACCACTCGATCTGGCCGGCATTTAATGTATGGTTCAGCTGTATTTTCTCGGAGGATCCATTCTCGTGCTTTATCTCACAAGTTACAGGCTGAAATAGAAAGAAAACAATCCAAGTTTATAACAGTACATACCTTTATAGAATCATAGTTTCATAACAAGTATCCTCAGTAAAATAACAGTATAATTATTTGATCATTTTGAACCCTTTACCTGCTGAATTTGTGTAATAAATTTTGCCCCGTTTTGAATTTGACACAATCCATTGTAGAAAAAAGAATGAAAATGATTTCAATATCAAAATACAAAAGTAAAAGAGTGTTTTCAGGCTGCACAGATATGCGTGCAGACCAGCCTAGCTCTATACTGGTGGCAAAGGCTGATCACTTTCAATTTCAGCAGGTTAAGGGCTTTAGCATATTTAATGTTTTTGTATAACAGGATTATACAGATAGATGAAATATTTTAACATAAAAAAAGTTGGCATCGTGATGTCACTGTACATTGTGATGTCACTTGTGACATCATTTCCTGTCAGCAGTTTAGCTTGTATTAATTGCGCTTTCTACTTTGTGAAATAATTTAATGGATGTGTTGCAATGTCTGCTATATACATGAAATTATCACTGTGGCAGCATGCTGAGTGATTAACACGTTGGACTAGTAATCTAAGGATCAATCTAAGGTTCAAACCCTGTCAGGGTCAAGGCATTGTTTCCGTCAGCAAGAAACTTTACACTTATTGCTTAGTACTGACTGGTTCTAGGAAGAGATTCGAGATTGTTTTAATAAGCTTATAGCTTCCAACACATTCAAACTAAACTAAATGTGTATAAACTAAATTACCACTGCTTGCATTCAAAGAGTACATTTAATCAGCAAGCTACACTATATCTGTGGTAAAGTAATAAGATGACAAAAGTAACTTACTTTTCCTGGTGCTATTGATTTGAGGTCTAACAATGATATTCTATCTGAGGGCTGTATTTTATCGTAATCACTCGAGTTGGCAAATGTTAAAGGAAGCATTCCTTGCTTTTTCAAATTCGTCTCTGCAATAAAATAAACAAAAATTTTTTGGAATGTTTAAATGCAAAACTAATTCAGACATACCACAAGTTTGTTGAAGTATACACAATATTCACTATATAATACACAGATACAACAAAGAGACATAGCAATGAGCAAAATTACATCAAGAGTACCAAATTGTAAGAACAAATACAATGTACATTGCATCAAAGCCTAATAAGGCTAATTTGGTCATATATGGATACATTTGTACTTCGGTCATACGGAAAAATTACATTGCATATTACCTAATACATTGCAACCATGCTTGGTAATGATTGTTTGATTGTAATGATTATTGTGGCTGTTTTATACACTTTAATCAATTTCACTGTCCATTGTCACCAAAGAGGGCATGAGTAAACTTTGGTGTATATGTATTATTAATGCATCAAAACATTCAATTCTAGTAAAGCATCAGACTACATAAATTATCTGTTTCATCATTCACAGCTAAATCAAGAATCAGTAACGCCTAAGTGCAAGAGTCTCTGACACTAACACAGTTATTGATGGTACACTAGCTATCAATAAATGCAATAATTCCAGAGTGTATAGATCAATGACTCTAGATAGCGAGTTGGCAAGATATTGAGGACTAAATCCTTGCAGATAAAATATATGTCAAATCTCAAACTAAATCAAAGAGGCTACACAACATTTACTACTTATCTTTTGAAGATCAGCACTTGAATGAAGAAACGCTAAATTCAAAGTTCATTCTAATATAGAACAGCTATATGCATTATGCAAATATGTATAGTGGAAGATTTTACCGTGGATTCTAGCAAAGCTTTTCACAATGATGGCACGTCCACCAAGATGTCTGGGTTCTAATGCAGCATGTTCTCTACTGCTACCCTCTCCATAGTTCTCATCTCCTACTACACACCATGGCACACCCTGTGACTGTAAAAAACAAGTTTGTTTATTGTTTTAGTAATTTACTGATATATTTTATCATACATTTTCTACATCTTTTTTTTCCATCAGGATCTCGTGCCCTTGAATTTGAACTTTTCGCTACTGCTTTTCAAGTAATTCCATGGTCAGATAACTTAATAGTTATACATAAGTCTGACAAACCTTGTATTAATTATATATATATTTAATTATCAAAAATGTGCCCATTGTAGACCTATCCACTTTAAGTAACATTAACAGCATAGAACTTCATCTCTTAAACTTGATCTTTGTTCAGAAATAATTTTAAAGTCTACAACAATTTTCAGACAAAAATCCAGCATTAAATCACTTACTTTGTATTTTCTGGCTACTTCTGGTACTGACCCATATTCCCCTGTTATCTGATTCTTTACTTTGTTTATTTCACCATTTTCTGCATTTACAGCTCTAAAAGTAATTAAAAAAGTAATTGTAGTAATAGTACATAATGTTTTTTATCCTTTATAAAGATTCCTACATAATTCCGCAAGAACAACTTTTCTGACAGTGACAAACTGTTCACTCATTAAAGATGAATTTGCTTTAAATCTTATACAAATCTGATCAAACTTTTCACTACAAGCTGCTTTATTTCACCAGTTCTTTACTAATCAGTGATGTCTGAATGGAAAATAAAAACTTTTCAACAGCACAAGCAATATATATATATCTTTTTTTGTGTTGGGGGCTTTGGATTTTATGTCTCACCAACACACTATAGGTCATATGATGGCGGCTTTACAGCTGAGGAAGACTTCAGGTGCTCTTCTACACACCTGAACGAGCACCTGAGAAGAACCATCGGCATTCCGTAACCTAGGTGGATAGCTTTCTAACATGAAGGAATCAAACTTCCCTGTTGAGATTCGAACCCACAGTGGTGAGGGGCAAGTGAAACAAAATATATCAATTCAACATGGTCAGCAAAAGATTTAACACCAAGTTTCATATATATTACTCAATTTGCTAGCTTAAATCTATAATAACACAATCCAAATCAGCTACTGTTTGATATTCTGTGCCTTTATTTTTCCTCTTTCAAATATTAGCTAATAATACATTGTAAATACATACCCAATAAGGAGGTTATTTGAGATATTATCAAGATGGCCTCTATATTTCAACCATTGTCCTGCTGCACTGATATGATCTGTTGTACATTTACCCTTAGCCTGTAACCAAAAAAAATAAATCATAAAGAATTTTGAACCCTTTGAATGCTAGTGGCAATATCCACTTGCATATGTCACTAGTGTAAAGTCAAGCCTGTCTGAACTTTAAATCTAAACTCTTTAAAGGAACTCCACTGACGTCAAAAAGCCATAAAACAAAATTTTAATTCCTTACATAGATCAATTAACACACGTAAAACAGAAAGATATACAAAAGATAATTCAGAAATATACTCCTATAATCGTATTTAGTGCTATTCTAAGCCAGATTTGAGCGAAAAAATTTGGGTCATTTTTCACAATTAGAATAATTATTCTGGAAAAAAAGAGTGAGCAAATGATCTGACACTTTTCACACAAGTCATTGGTCTAGAAAACATCAAATGGAATATAATTTTCGAAAGATTAGTTCCAGTCCCATCGTGTCAAAAAACCTCAGTGGAGTCCCTTTAAAAGTTAGAAATGGTATGCAGATGCCACCAGCCCTCAAGTCTGCCAAGACTATTTACTGTCAGTTACTTAATTTTAGTACTGAAATCCCTCGTATAACAATGGACAATCACATAGAGAGAACGTTAATGAATATATCTATCACTGGAGAGAGCTAAAAATATTTTAAATAAAGAAATGCCGTCCTAAAGATAAACATATTTGAAGTTTGACTTAATTTGAAAAACAACTTTATACACTATAAATATCCCAACTAAAAATGAACAAGAGGGCCATGATGGCCCTGAGGTCACTCACCTGTATATAGGCCCCCGGAGCGAGGCCAGTTTAAACCCAAGGGCTTTTATTTGAACAAACTTTGAAGACACCCATTAGAAGATGTTTCATGATGTTAATTTTTACTATACATATAAAATGAAAAACAATGACCTCCCCACCTGGTAGGGCTAATTTTAACCCAAGGGCTTTTATTTGAACAAACTTGGTAGACACCTATAAGAAGATGTTTCATGCTTAACATCTAAGCTCTAGCTCATTGGGTTTTTTAAAAGAAGATTTTTTAATTTTTTACTATACACATATAGTTAAAAACAATGACACCCCTGGGGCGGGGCCAGTTTTGACCCCAGGGCTTTTATTTGAACAAACTTTGTAGACACTTAGTAGAAGATGTTTCATGCTTAATATCTAAACAGTAGCTATTTGGGTTTTTTCAAAGAAGATTTTTAAGTTTTTGCTATACACATATAAGGAAAATCAATGACCCCCTGTGCGGGTCAATTTTGACCCTAGGGCTTTTATTTTAACAAACTTTGTAGACACTCACTAGAAGATGTTTCATGTTTAATATCTAAACTGTAGCTATTTTCGTTTTTTCAAAGAAGATTTTTTTAAGTTTTGCTCAACACATATAAGGAAAATTAATGACCCCCAGGGCGGGGCCAATATTGACCCCAGGGCTTTTATTTGAACAAACTTGGTAGACACCCATTAGAACATGTTTCATGCTAAATATCTTAGCTCTAGCTCTTTGAGTTCTTTAAAAGAAATTTTTTTAAAGTTTTTACTATATGCATATAGGGAAAATCAATGACCCCCTGGGGCGGGGCCAATTTTGACCCCAGGGCATTTATTTGAACAAACTTGGTAGACACTCACTAGAAGATGTTATATGCCAAATATCTAAGCTCTAGCTCTTTGGGTTTTTTAAAAGAAGATATTTAAAGTTTTTTCTTTCGGTTGCCATGGCAACCAGAGTTCTGCATGGAATTAAATTCTTTGAATAATTTTTAAAGGTGACCACCAAAGGAACATTCCTGTGAAGTTTGGATGAAATTGGCTTGGTGGTTTATGAGGAGATGTCATTTAAAGTAAAAGTTTACGGACGGACGACGGACGAACGAACGACGGACGGACGAAAAGCGATCACAAAAGCTCACCCTGTCACTTTGTGACAGGTGAGCTAAAAATCAACATCATTCTTGGCATAAAACATCAGAAGCCTATTGTGTCTTGTATAAATTACAGACCGTAACACATTATAAACTTTACTGGTTAGCATTTTTACATTTATGTTGATTCAGGTGCCACTTTACTATTATCTACTATTACAAAAAAAAAAAAAAAAAAATCTGCAAGTCCAAGAAAACCTATAAAATTCTGAATAATTACTTTGATGAGAACTGGCATATCAACAATATCCTTTCCGTCCCATTTCTGGAAGGGGCTCAAAAGTTGAAGTCTGTTACTCTTGGGGTCAACTTGTACGGATACTCCGGCGCCATCTTCTGGTGGGGGCTGGAAGGTATCCTCACCAGGATCAAATCCCTGAGCTGGTAATTCATCACCATAAGGACTTTCCAACTTGAACTTGGAACCTATTGAATAAAATCAACATTGGAATAATTTAATCACAGAAATTCTCATAACAAATTTAATGATAAAACTGACAAATGCTGACTCATGTACCTAATAAAATCATGTAACAAAGGCTGTCAGTAGGACAGTGTGCTCGACTATTCCCATTGCTTGATAGTAAAACAAGAGCCTGAATAATATAGAAGTTCAAAACAGGCAATAATTCTATCAAAATCTATGTTAAGAGTTATGGGCCTTGGACAGCGACTTTTATGAAGAAATAAATCTTCTCCAATACAGCCTTAAAGTTTTAAAATTTAGTCTCTTGAACTAGGTTAGCTCAAAGGAAATTTACCATCTGCGGCCGTCAGCTCATCTTTTTCTGGGTTGAAGCCAAGTTCACCAGCAATGGCCATGGCTGTGACTAGTTCAGGTGAGGTAACAAATGCGTGGGTTGCAGGGTTGGCATCATTACGTCCGGTAAAGTTACGGTTATATGATGTAACGATGGTATTTTTCTCTCCTTTCTTAACGTCTTGTCTGTCCCACTGACCAATACAAGGTCCACATGCATTTGCCAGGACAACTCCGCCAATGTCACGTAATGCAGCAGCCTAGATATTGTCATACATCAAAGTGAATAATTTTATTATAAAGGAATCATAAAATAATACAGCTGCGTGAAAGCAATATTATTTTACATAATAAAAATATTTTCTACATGAAGATTATCGCCCTAATGAAATCATTTTTTATAAGTTTCAAGGAAAATGTTACTTTTTTCCAAGAATCTGATCAATGTATTTAATTTTGTAGACATTGTATGTGTTACATTACACCGACACAGTAAAGGTCATATGGGGATATACTCAATAACAGTATGAACTCCACTGATGTTACACTTATATTGAACCCGTCAAAAATCAAAGAAGGGCGAGTCAATTAACACATTTTCAGCCGTAAAAACAGTTTCAAAACTTACCTGACCGTCTCTCTCGATAGTGGCACGGATTTGTTCTGATCCTGGAGTAACGGTATAAGCGGCCTTAGCTTTGATGCCTTTATCCAGAGCTTGCCTAGCAATACTAGCTGATCTGCTCATGTCTTCATAACTGCTGTTTGTACAACTACCAATCAATCCTATCATTTATAAACAATATTATCACTTATTCATAGAATAAACAAGAAATGTGTCAATAGGACACGGATGCCCCCACACGCCACTGTTCTGTCAATCTTAAGACTCTAGGTCAAATATTTTTTGGACTACACGTGCCACAAGTTGAAAACTAAAAATCAACAAAGGGCAATAATTCTGTTAAATTTGGTTGCAGCAAAAATTCCTTCCTTTACTACCATCTACACATTAAGGTTGTTCATCCCTGAAAGTTTAAGCAAAATCTGCCATCAGGTTTAAGAGGAGTTGCGTTCACAAAATTTCTACATAGTATATAATGAAAAAATCAACAAAGGGCCATAATTCTGTTAAATTTGATCGCAGCAAAAATTCCTTCTTTTACTACCATCTACACATTAAGGTTGTTCATCCCTGGAAGTTGCAAAATCTGCCATCTGGTTTAAGAGGAGTTGCGTTCACAAAATTTCTTCATAGTATCTAGTGAAAAAATCAACAAAGGGCCATAATTCTCTTAAATTTGGTTGCAACGAAAATTCCTTCCTTTACTACCATCTACACATTAAGGTTGTTCATCCCTATAAGTTTAAGCAAAATCTGCCATCCGGTTTAAGAGGAGTTTCGTTCACAAGATTTCGGGACGTACGTACGGACGGACTGATGGACGGACGGACAAGTGCAACGCTATATGCTCCCACATTGTGGGGGCATAAAAATAATCACCTATTAATAATGTTCAAGTCTTTGCAGTCATATTCAACAAGAGAAAGTAGTTAAGATTCTAGAGGTTTGATTCGGACATAAATTACCCATCGCCTGTGATTTAATTGGATTTATAACATGAAATGGTTTCTTCCGAGGTTAAACTTACACCTTAATAAGTGTCAATAATAGGTCATAAAATAATATGAAAAATTTGTGCTGATAGACTGCTAAACTAGGTATATTATTCATCAATCAGGTAATTTATGTTACTGGTTAACCCATTACTTCATATACACGCCTTTTAACGCCTTTTTCACCCCCACTTTATGTTGTCTCAAAGGATGAAAAAATGCCTCATTTAGGCCCCAAATACTTGTTTTTGTTTGAGAAATGTTGTTAAAAAAGTGATCTCTTTTTCGGCGCGGCCCCCCAACCGAAAGATACATCAGGGGGTTGCCAGAAGGGGGATGTGCCCCCTTCTGTTTGGGAGGTTTGAAGGGGGGTGGAGTGCCCCTCATCGCCAAGAAAATTTTGGACTTGTGAGAGGCTGTAAATGACCCGAGATTGATCATAAGGTAACGTGTAACCAACGCTGAAATGCATTTGACTCTATCTCAATCCATTGAGAAGTTGAAGCACTTTGAAATCAATTTTGATGGAAAAAATCAACGCAAAATAGTGATTTTTGGCAATTTTGAGATGTCCCCTCGTTGCCATGGTAACAGAAAATTTAAGCCTGAGCATGTTGTTGCAAGGGCAATGGTCTAGTCAACAATTGTGCCAAGTTTGATTAGTGTTGAAGCAGTTTTTATAATACTATAGCAATTTGAACTTGTAACGAGAGACTTTTCAATGAAAACAGCCATTTTTCACAAAATGCTCATGAAGTAATGGGTTAAAGGATCAGTACACAGGTTAAAGAGAATAAATAACAAAACAACAGCTCTGTAAATAAAGTACCGGTATGTCACTTCTAACTTTCAAAAAAAACACAATAACATGCAGAGGTCCCAAGTTCACTTAAATGCAAATCTTTATAAAATAGACCATACTAAATATTAAGAGAATTGCCTACCAACTCTAACATCAAGCGGCCATCCTTTTTCAATAGCTACTTCACGAAGTTTAGAAATAGGATTGTACAAGTCTGGTGTGAAAGGTCCATTTACACTTGGCTCTAACTGTAACATAAATAAATAAATTTCAAATAGATCATCTAAATATTCAAATTTTCAATGAAAGAAATTCTTGTTTTAAACAAGACCAGTGCATGCCAGTTCAAAAGGGGGCATTACTTCAAAATTGAAAATATTGCTGAAAGAATTATACCCCTTGCCTAATAAATGCACCTTGTCATGCTAAGCAAGTTTCATGTTGACATTTATAAAATGTTTGAATGATGTTGCATGACCACAACTACCATGCCGACATTGACGACAATGCAGCAATCATAATGGCTCACCTTTTTCTTTGAAAAAGACAAGCTAAAAACCAAGCAAGCAACAGTATAACCTGGTCAATAGACTTAATAGCTGGTTTTTTGGAGAGGTTTTATGTTGCTCAAACATAGTACATGTCTAATGGTGAACTTTTGCAGCATAACTCGTGGAGGTAGACCAAAGGTGCCCTTCCATGCAATATTTCAGACCCAAATGCAGGCAACTAAGTAGAACCACTAACATTGCATAACTAAGCTGGATTGCCTTCTCACGTGACTTAAAAGATATACAGGCTGATCCTACTATATGGGTGGTATAGAACTTTTAAAATCAGCAATAGCATTAAAAGAGTGAAGAGCTTACCGTGTCTAAGTTGATATCAATAACCTGGTCATATTTGGCTCCCGGATCAGCAGAAAGTAGTGCCTGGTTCCTATTGGCTTCATCAGCTATCTCTGTAATTAATGATACACAACAGTCAGTGACTTATCAACTAGTTATAACAACTACATATACAAGGGGAAATAACTGAGAGTATTATCTATTGGATAAAATACTATTAAAATATCAAGGACAATTTCGGGAGTCTTCATACAGACATATAGTCATAATTAAAACTGTTCAATAACATTTCTTTACACTTGGCTTGTTGTAAGAATATGATTACAGAAACATTTTTTGCTACCAGGCATGTAATAATACAAATATTTTATATCAGAATTAAATTACCTTTTCTACTGGTAGCATTGAGATAATCTTGCATTCTGTAGTTAAATGGGAACACTGAAGTCGTTGCTCCAATTTCAGCACCCATGTTACATATAGTTCCCATACCTGTAAAATACATAAATGAAACAAATGAAGTAAAGCTTATTGAATGCAGAAATAAACTAACATGGAAATTCATGAGTTTGCGATATTGACAATAATGGGGTTCAAACCTTAAAGATACTTCAAACACATCATTAATTTTGAATAAAAGATGTTTTGGCGCCAAGCAATTCATCTTTTTTATTCCTAATTTTACTACTTTTTAAGCTTGCTTGTGGAATTACTCTCAGGTCTGCTGCCCATAACAAACCAGTACTGGTTGAAACGTGGCCATGAAGGGCTTGAACTCACAATCCCTGGATTCAAAGGCAGACACGTTAATCACTCGAACTGCCACATCCATATATAATCATGTATCTTTAGTTCTGGTGTAATACAAAAAGAATAGGCAGAACCAAACTAACAGACAAAACCCTTCTATAATAGTTATTCAACTTTTATGATATATGGTGAAATTGTATTATAGACGAACACAAATTTATTGTACTGTGACAATGTTGTAACAGTTACACTTATATATTTAGAACAAGATCATACCTGTACAAGATATAGAGTCAACACCTGGCCCGTAGTACTCTACAATAGCACCTGTGCCTCCCTTCACTGTCAGGATACCGGCTACTTTCAATATAACATCTTTAGGTGAAGTCCAGCCACTCATTTTACCAGTCAAGTTCACTCCAATTACCTATAATAGTTCAATTTTAACTTGAAACCTTAATATTTAGACCTAAATCACAAATTGCTTGTTGCAAATTTGAAGATAAAACAAATATATTTCCAATTCAGCCATAGAAAAATCTGTCATTTTTGGGGGGTATAAATATAAGCAGCTCAGGTAGGCTTAATTTTTCAAGATTTGTAATGCTGAGGTGAGGTTATATCTTTTTCAATTTTGGAATATCTGTTTCATTCAAGGTCAAAATGGAGTGCAGTACACATGTAATTTGCAGGTAACTTATACTCATTCCAATTTTCATGGCGAAAATACAGACAGTAACAAAAACAAACGAAATTCTTCAAAACATAGCCTATTTTTTGCATAAGCAATGTTACAGGAAAAGTTCTCACTTTCTTTGAAAAATATTTTATGTTTTATTTTGCTCATTTGTCAATTGAATTGAATCTCCAAATATTATGTGTTCAATGCAGAGAGCATTCTCAGTGCAATACCCACTATCATAAGCAAATCAATATAGATCTGCACTTCGTAATGGGCACAAACTGATTCTCTCTTTTATGCATAAAATACAATAAAGCACTAAACACTTCCTACCTTTGGGCATTTCAGTTCCCAAGGAATGTCAGCCATTACGTCAACAGCATCGGCTCCGCCCACACCTATACAAAGACCTCCCAATCCACCTCCATTGGGGGTGTGACTGTCTGTACCAATAATCAGAGCTCCTGGGAATGCATAATTCTCTAAAATAATCTGAAACAATGAATATAGCTTCGAAGTTAAACATTTGCAAAGAATAGAATATTAGCTGCTATCTTTAGTTATCTTAGGTTTATTTATCCAGATAATATAAAATACTTTGAAACAATACTTTAGACAATAAACAAAGCCAGTTTTATGGGATGGACAATCAAATATACTGAGGTACAAAAAAAGTTTTTTTCCCTTCTTTTGCTTGGTTAAAAAAATCAGCAGCTACCGGTCATATGGTGACTTTCCAACTGGTGCAATCCCTCAATGCATAATTTCAGGAACAAGTGGCTACTGACTTTCCATAAGCTAGCCGGATAACTTCTTCACATATGAAAAAAAAAGTTCCTGGCAATGGCATGTGATTCCGTGTTTCAGCCTTACATGCCAAAAATAAAGTGTAGGTAAGTCATAGTTCAGCTACAAATCCAGTCCCTTTACCTTGCATGTTTGATTTAATGCCAAGTTTAACACATTTTTTTTATCATACCTAGTCAGGTTTCTTATTTTGATAACTAAGCAGTAATTACCAACTTCTCCACAAGTGATCAACTTCTAATCTCACTTGAATCAGCTGAATCAGCTATGAGAGACAAATGACCTCACCATTTAACTCAAATGTCTAGGGTTAATTGTCACCAAGAAATTTCGCCTTGCCAGAGCATTGAACAAATGTCTTTTTCAATTACAACACAAAAACAAATGAGGTTTTTAATTTGAAAAGTGTACCTGATGGATGATACCGCTTCCTGGTTTCCAGAAACCAACACCATATTTGGCACTTACTGATGACAAAAAGTCATATACTTCTTTGTTTATGTCCTGAAAAATAAATTACATGAGTAGGATACTACAACAAAATCATCATAAAAGAACATCTTAACTTAACAAGATATGTTTGTAAAACATGTATGCCCCCTATCAGCAGCCAATTAGTCATGTGATAAGGTTATTATGCATGACTTCTGACCCAGTGATCAAACAATTAATAAGGGTTATAAAGTATCTACTGGTCATGACCTTGACCTTTGACCCCTTGACCCAAAACTCAATAGGGGTCATCTGCTGGTCACGACCAATCATCATACAAAGTTTGAAGTTCCTAGGCCTAGGCGTTTTTAGTAAATTGATCAGAAACCGTTTTTACCTACAAGGTCAATGTGACCTTGACCTTTGACCCCTTGACCCCAAAATCAATAGGGGTCATCTGCTGGTCATGACCAATCACCATGCCAAGTTTGAAGTTTCTAGGCCGAAGCGTTCTTTAGTTATTGATCAGAAACCGTTTTTACTTACAAGGTCATTGTGACCTTAACCTTTGACCCCTTGATCCCAAAATCAATAGAGTAATCTGCTGTCATGACAAATCACCATACCAAGTTTGAAGTCCTAGGCCTAAGCGTTCTTGAGTTATTGATCAGAAACCGTTTTTACTTAAAAGGTCAATGTGACCTTGACCTTTGACCCCTTCACCTAAAACTCAATAGGGGTCATCTGCTGGTCATGACCAATCATCACACAAAGTTTGAAGTTCCTAGGCCTAAGCATTTTTAGTTAATTGATCGGAAAACCGTTTTTACCTACAAGGTCAATGTGACCTTGACCTTTGACCCCTTGACCCCAAAATCAATAGGTCATCTGCTGGTCATGACCAATCACCATACCAATATGGAGGGTCCTAGGCATAAGGGTTCTTAAGTTATTGATCGGAAAGCATTTTTACCTACAAGGTCAATGTGACCTTGACCTTTGACCCCTAGACCCCAAAATCAATAGGGGTCATCTACTGATCATGACCAATCACCATCTCAAGTTTGAAGTCCCTAGGCCTAAGGGTTCTTTCATTATTGATCGGAAACCGTTTTTACCTACAAGGTCAATGTGACCTTGACCTTTGACCCCTTAACACAAATTTCAATAGGGGTCATCTGATTGGTCATAACCAATCACCATACCAAGTTTGAAGTTCCTAGGCCTTAAGGTTCTTTAGTTATTGATCGGAAACCGTTTTTACCTACAAGGTCAATGTGACCTTGACTTTTGACCCCTTGACCCCAAAATCAATAGGGGTCATCTACTGATCATGACCAATCACCATACCAAGTTTGAAGTTCCTAGGCCTTAAGGTTCTTTAGTTATTGATCAGAAACCGTTTTTGCTTACAAGGTCAATGTGACCTTGACATTTGACCCCTTGACCCCAAAATCAATAGGGGTCATCTACTGATCATGACCAATCACCATACCAAGTTTGAAGTTCCTAGGCCTTAAGGTTCTTTAGTTATTGATCGGAAACCGTTTTTGCTTTTAAGGTCAATGTGACCTTGACCTTTGACCCCTTGACCCCAAAATCAATAGGGGTCATCTACTGGTCATGACCAATCACCATACCAAGTTTGAAGTTCCTAGGCCTAAGGTTCTTTAGTTATTGATCGGAAACTGTTTTTGCTTTCAATGTCAATGTGACCTTGACCTTTGACCCCTTGACCCCAAAATCAATAGGGGTCATCTACTGGTCATGACCAATCACCATACCAAGTTTGAAGTTCCTAGGCCTTAAGGTTCTTTAGTTATTGATCGGAAACCGTTTTTGCTTTCAAGGTCAATATGACCTTGACCTTTGATCCCTTGACCCCAAAATCAATAGGGGTCATCTACTGGTCATGACCAATCACCATACCAAGTTTGAAGTTCCTAGGCCTTAAGGTTCTTTAGTTATTGATCGGAAACCGTTTTTTGCTTTCAAGGTCAATGTGACCTTGACCTTTGACCCCTTGACCCCAAAATCAATAGGGGTCATCTACTGGTCATGACCAATCACCATACCAAGTTTGAAGTTCCTAGGCCTTAAGGTTCTTTAGTTATTGATCGGAAACCGTTTTTGCTTTCAAGGTCAATATGACCTTGACCTTTGATCCCTTGACCCCAAAATCAATAGGGGTCATCTACTGGTCATGACCAATCACCATACCAAGTTTGAAGTTCCTAGGCCTTAAGGTTCTTTAGTTATTGATCGGAAACCGTTTTTGCTTTCAAGGTCAATGTGACCTTGACCTTTGACCCCTTGACCCCAAAATCAATAGGGGTCATCTACTGGTCATGACCAATCACCATACCAAGTTTGAAGTTCCTAGGCCTAAGGGTTCTTTAGTTATCACTCGGAAACCATTTGGTCTACGGACCGACGGACCGACAAGTGCAAAGCAATATACCCCCTTTTTTCAAAATGGGGGCATAAAAATTGTTGAATATAAACACCAACAACATCGTAGATTGATTCCTAAAAGTTTACAACAGTTCTCTTCTTCAGTATGTGATATAAATATTTCAAAAGAGAGCAACACATTTTTCCTCCTTCTTTAAAAAGGTTTAGTAAAACAAACTAATTTCAATTGCCTAAAGAATTCCATTTTTTTACTCAATAATGTTGTCATTAATTATTAAAAAATTTGCAACATGATTAAACATTTTGTGATACGGATAAATTAAAAGGAAGTTACCTTAGCTCTGGCAAGATCTTTGTCTCCTCCAAGCTGTGCCTCTATCAAGTGGTCACAGTGAACTGTGGAAGGTACTGCTACTTTAGGTAGACCACTTGAGATAAATTGTAACAGTGCCATCTGTAACAAATAAAAGGATATGCACATGCATAATCATTAACAGGACACTAGGTATGAAAACAACATCACACATGATCATGAAACAAGGTATGCATGTGACTCAATATTTAAACATGACACCCTCCCTTTTATCATTTTCATTCTTAATTTTACCATCAACATTTTGGGAATTGGGAATCATTTTTACTGACTAGTTGTGTATTATTTTCTATAATAACTTTAAAATCAATGTTAAGAGCAAGCTAGAATCATAATTTTTAAAATCAAAGATTTAGTTTACCTGGGCAGTGGCATCCTGCATAGCAACACGATCTGGTCGCAGCTTGAGATAGCTCTCTCCTCGTACAATATCCTACAATATATGTTAAACATGTTAGACAATAAACATCATCTACAAGTACTGTGTTTTTGACTATAGGAGAAAGAAAACAAAATGGCTACTTTCAGCTAAAGGAAAACCACTTGCTCTTAGAGAAACAAAGATGAATGATGCATACTAGTATATTTGGCAATTTTCAAAAATTAAGAGGTTTATGGAACAAGAATACTGTAAACATTAATGGAAGATCCAAAATGTGGTTTTAACAAAGCTTAAACATGACCACAGGGAAAAATCTATTTATAGGTTCTATGATCTTCATGATAATCCAGCTGACCTGAATTCCCACCTAATGGCAGAGGAGTCATGGAAAATACCATCTCACCCTATATCATCAAGGTATCAGTCAATAACTGACAATAATTACTGCTCTGAGAAACAGAGGAAAGACAAATGTGCTTTGATATGCTCCAGCAATTTTTTGGGGAGCAAGCAATATAAAAACCAAGTTATTATTAATAAATTACTAAAATGCTTTTAGATATATTAGACAATCATCATTCTTTCAACTACCCAATTCTGTAAACTTAATTATAAATTCAATATACCTTCTTGTAAGATTTTAGTCTATGTATTTATCCCATAGAAATAAAAACAAACATACCGGAAAGAACCATTTTTCCTTAAACACATAACTGGTTATATGGTTTTATATTAAATTTGTGGTTAAATTTATTTAAAATCCTGTCCAAAATTTTAACTATCATTAGATTTTCTTACCTGATTCTTGGGATCATCTAAATGTCCGTAGAGAATTTTCTCAGACAGTGTAAGGGGTCTCCCCAATCTCTTCTTCACAACATCAACTCTGTGCGAAATCTTATCATAGTCTATGTGCTGGTTCGGCTCCAATCTGCTCATAGCAACCTGATAAACCAATCATGATATTTCAAACATTTCTTCATTTTTCATACCAATATAAGTACAGGTTTTCTTCAATTTGATACTGACACAACTGATATGCTCAAGATATTGTTCAAGCAATTACCCAATACATTGGGTCAAAATCCATTAGTTTCTTTTGTGTCTAACTCTTAAGAATCCAATTTTTCAGGTAAATAAAGGAAAGAAATATGAAGTAAATGTAGTTAATAATTATCAATACAATTTGCAGACTTACATGTTGACACATCATAACATGTATGTAAATCAAATATACTATTTCAAAAGAATGCCATAGGACGGATGGACAATGCCTTTTAGATATATCTACATTTAACAGTAATGAACAACACAAGTTATAGTCTTACCTTCTGTGATGCCACGGAGGATACATGAATGTATCGGACTGTACTTGGCAGCCCACTGGCAGCCTGAAATAAAAACGTTTACAATCTAATTTCCTAGAAAAAATTCCAATCACTTGTTTTACATGTATACCCTTGATAAAAAATAATCATAAAATTTTATACATGGGTTTTTCTACACTTCACTAGTCCTACTGGACTAGTGCCTGTTTAATGTTACTTGTCCTTTACTGCAGGGTTGTCATTAAGAGGCGGCAGGAGGCCAAAATGCCTGTCTCAAATGCATTATGGGCCGCCTCAAAATCAAGAAAACACTCTTTGTTATGCATGATAAAGACAGAAATGACCGCCTCAATTTCAAAACAAACCTTCTGCAAAAAATGTTAATGACAACCCTGAACTTTAGTCAAAACCAAGGACAATAAATTTACCATTGACCAATTTCATATTTTGACACAATATATAATCTAGGTCACCAGCTAGTTTGAAAAAAAAATTACACATACTGTTTCAAATGATCAATTCTGAGCATCTGATTTTTAAACGTGCTAACATAATTATGTTCAATATTTTTTAAATGGGCACATTTGACTGTATGTGTATTAAGTATGTAATTTCCTTTTGCATGTTCTTCACTGTCAATATATCTATGATAGTTTAATCCTTTAATAGGATAGGACGAATTTACAAACTACATGTACATACTGCTAACAGACAATTTTAGTGAATTGGGTTTTTGAACTTTTGAATTGAAGCACATTTACATCCTAAATAAATACTATTGTTAATTTCAATTTATCAACAAGGCAGTCTGAAGGACAGCTAAATCCCCTTCTGCAGTGAAAATGAATGTGTACTTCTTGACCGTTTACCAACCATGACCTTGATGTTGTGCCATGCATATCATAAGCACATAGTCTCACGATGGTGATTATTTGTGCAAAGTCATTTAAATCTTCCATAAAGTCAAATGTTATGGACAGGGCTCTCAGTAGGGTCAGAATTTCACGAGTCAAAGACTCTTTGGCTAAAATTTTCATGAGTCAAATAATTTTTTTCTAGTGTCATTTGTCTACATGAACCATTTTTATGTCACAAAAATTACTGTTTTGGAGGTCATTTTGTGTAGATTCTCAATTCTAAATTGATAATATTTAACATGAAAAAAAGCCTTGTTATAATGTATATATATTTCCCCCCCCCCCCCCCCCAAAAAAAAAGAAAAAAAAGACAACAAAAAACAAACAAATAAAAAAAATGAATACCATCTTTACTGTGAAAGAATAAACTAAGCAGCAGCTTTTCAGATTAAAAAAAAAAATTAAAATATAAAGAAATATCTTTACTGGTATGCTATTTATCATATTAATTTTAAATAACAAAATGCACTTGGAATATTTAATGGAAAATAACAAATGTACAGGCACTCCAAGTAAATCAAAGACGTATTATAAACCTTTAAAAGCAATCAATAATTGACACCTCAAGTATGTAATTCTTATCAGTTGTGTAGAGCTATTTTTAGCGCTGTCAAATTGCATCCAATGATGTCGCGCTTCAGTGCACAGGCTATAAACAATGGTGTATATCACACGGTGACATTTTTTTAGGGTGATTTGAACATGTGTAGGATTTGATAGGTAATTAGGTGTTGATTTAAGGTAATTATTATTGCATAGCTGAAAATCCCAGGTGGCAAATTGACTCTTGAGCAGATTTTATCACGTGTCAAATTTGTGCATTTCCTGATTTTCACGAGTCAAAACCCGGATCCCCGTGTCAATCGAGAGCCCTGTTATGGAGAACATATAACCTTGACCTTGGGGGAAGCAACCTGGATGTTGAGCTCTGCAGTTTTTGTCATGGTGGGGATCGTTTGTACCAAGTAATTTCAAAACCTTTGAATTGTCAATAAGTTATATAGAGTTGCCATGAAAAATAAATGTTTTGAGTGTGACCCTCACCTTCAGGGTTGTAATGTAACTTGATTATTGTGCTCTGCCAATGGTGTCATAATGGTGATCATTTCTGCCAAGTTAACTTAAAAACATTGTGGCGGTTTAAATGTAATGGACTGACATGAAATGTAGACTTTCTAACATTTGACCTGTATTTAGACATACCGATGAAATTTCATTAAATTCCATGACTGGCATTACCAAATACCTTATTGAGTTACATCATTTTAAATATAAAAGAATATGGCAGAATATGTAAGAAAATCATCCAGGTCTCGACACTAACTTTTTCAGCAGGTGTTATGCCGGACCACTGGATCAAAAATTCAGGTGGTCCATTACACTGATGGTCCATCTTTTTTTACTCATTTGTTTTTAAAGAAACATCAGATTTAGAAGAACTGCACTTAAAATTGATGACAGAGACATATTTATTATTAGATTTATAACAACTGAAGAAAACATGTATTTTTTTCTATTTCAATCTAATCAGATAGTAAGTATTTCGATTAAGTGACTTCTTCCACAACTCAAGTTAGGGAATAGTGAAACAATTTGTGAATGCCTTATTTCCTTAATGTTATTCAAATACTCATTGCTGTTTCCTGGTACATCTTATAAGAATAATATTTGCCTTTTAAATTTAATAGATTAAAGTGACATTATGCTCATATTTTCATAGTTAAGTTGAGCTGAATTGACTTTATATTTCAAAAGATTGACTGTCATAATGGTGTTTAAAGTTACATTAAACAAATTTCATAAAAAACTAATTAGCGACATTTCATTAATAAATTGGGTTTTATATAAACTCCAGGTCTTATTTTAGTGTCCAAAAAACCAAAATGAATTTTATTAGCATAAAAATAGGTAACCTCATTGTGGCGAAATGGGAAGTACAAATTCTGTTTGCATGAGAACTCGCCTTCGGATCATTCGTACATCAGTATTAAATCAACAAACATGACTATAAGTGGCAGTCCTAATTTAACGGTATACTTCCGCATCGTAACGGATGTTTTCATACAAATTTAATCTTTTTACGAGATGATTACTTTTACTGAACAGAACCCCAGGTTTAGTGCACCGTGAAGGTTAAACAGTTAAAGTGTGTTTGCACAAGAAAATATCACATTTGCTGTGTTACGGATAGCAACTATAAAACTGTGAAGGGCCTGCTCGCAAAGCGAGCTTTATGGTAACGCGAGTACCTGCTAAGTGATGGTTTTGAAAACTTTCGTCCAAAGTACCGAATTGGACACATCGCAACCTTTCGAATTTAAAGATAACGATAAAAACTGAGAAATTCTGACTGAAAACGGATGCGTAAACTGGTCACCCGCGCACGTCTATGAGAACCATAATTGGACAGGGAACCAGAATAAGGGAAGCTGTGTATAAAAATGAAAATCGAAAGCGCCAGTTTGTTTGAAATCTGATAAAAAAAACAATTTTTTGTCGAATTTTGTTGTGAAAACTATCTAGAATGAAAGAAAATGGTCTAACTAAGAAAATGAATCCGAACACCAATATCTTTTATTCAGTCGTTAACGCTGTACAGACGTTTAAATTATTGTTTACGTGACGTCACAATGTAGCGCCAAACAGCACGTGCAAAACAAACAAATCAAGTACGCTATTTTAATGTCGCAAACGTTTAAAGTTTTACATTTATTTCACTTTAAATAATCTTTATTTCGCTTGAAAAATTATAGAGTGAAATAAAGTAAACAAAGTTTTATCAACGTTTTCAAAACTCGTTATTCATTTCACGACAGGGGCGGATCCATATTGAACACAGTACGTGTGACGTCACACGCACTCGTTACTGCATTTGAAATAAAAATGAGCGATTATTTCATACTATTTCACGTAAAAAGTACATCGAGCTCGCTTTGAGGCTTTGCCTTTTTCATATTAGCCTTTTAAAGTACTTTAAATAATAAAGAAATGGATCTCTGATAGTTTAAAGTAGCCAAAGATTACTAGATATTCAATTTTTCCTTGGGACAGATATTCCATTCCGAACTGCAACATATGGCAGATCTGAAATATAAATATACATGCAAAGGCTACCCAGAGGTTATCAGTACACAGAGGCGGGTTTATCAATACTAGCCTCTGATTGGCCACTACAATATATAATTATTTTATTATTTCAGTTTGTAACATAGGATCATGTGAAGTCTAACTTTTTTGTTACCCCACCCACAACAAATAACACTTGTAAAGTCATTGATAACTTCAATACAAGTTAAAATCATGAATAGAAATCAACGTATTTTAAATGAAAATCTTTGATCCTAATCATATAAAGCAGATCTTTATCTGTAAAGGCGATTTCATGTTGTTTGATACCTTTTTCATATGCCGAAAGACGTAAGCCATGGTCACCTTTGCAAACTGTGACGTCACTGATCTTCAAAAGATAGTATGACCCAAATGAATAAAAACTACCACAAAGTAAACAAACTGTAAGCAATATCCTTGAAAATACTCTGCAAAACATATCTTAGAACGTTTGAATAGTTCATAAAACTGTATTAACAATGCAAATAGTGTTAATTCTAGTCATGTTGTTTCACTCACAACAGATCGTTCTTATCATTCCAATGAAGGACTTCATTTAGCTTATGTAAATGTTTGTGGACTTTGCTCAAAACTGAAATTTATTGAATTTCAAAATTTTATTAATGCACATGATATTATTCATTTTACTGAAACTAAACTTGATGAGTATGATTCACCTTCTGTAAATGGTTATACCTTTAAGGGTGTTTGCTGACAAAAAAATACGAATAGATCTGTACTTGATAAACATGTGACTGAATTTAATGGAGGTGATGTTATGTATGATGAACTATCTGTTGATTTTCTTGCATAGCAGACTCGCGTTTCCGTGAGTTTTACCCATGCCGGAAATTTCATCTGGCATTGGGGTGCCAGATGAGTCGAGTGCCAAACAACAACGTCATTTTAGCGCCATTTATGGATGAACCGCGTTAAAATGACGTCGTTTTAGAAGGGAAATATGTGCTTAGGATGACGTCATTTCGCCGTTGTTATTTAAGTTGTAAGTTCATACGCCATTGTAAGAAAATAGATATGGAGGAAATGACTTTAATTTCCATGAACATATATCATATTGAAGTAAACCATTTTAAATATGAAATAATATGGCAGAATATGCAAGAAAAAATATCTTTCATATGTTTTCGGCTCGGATCGGAATATCCGTCCCTCGGGAACCCGCCCATGGGCGGTAACTCGGCAAGCCTCGTTACCGCCCAAATGGGCGGGTCCCCTCCAATCTCCACGCAGTGTTCTCCCCTTAATTCTTCGGCGTAGGGAGGTAATCACTGTGAGGAGTTTGGGTCCCCTCGGGACGGACATTCCGGTCCGAATCGCAACATATATATATGACAGATATTATTAACCTATCTGATTTTGGCATTCCATTAGAACGTTACTATACTGGCATGCGAGCGGTTCCCGTACAAAAATCGTAGTGACTTAAACATTATTTTTTATTACGCTCACTCACCACAATTTGAATGTTACACATCAATATTCAGCTCGTCACACAAACAATGGAAATTCCATCATGTTCTAAACATAGAACAACCCTTAGTTATGAGGCCTCATATGGGGTACCGAAATTATCCATTTTTTGTTTGAAGAGAAGTAGTTCCCGTACATAAAATTTAACCCATTATATTTATACAAGTTTGTTATATCGGACTTATTTTTCATTTTTAATTATTGAACAGAGCAATTTCTAAGAGATAACTAGATGTTATTCAGGAAATAGAGCGTTGACTAAACGCTGGTATCTATTACCTGGTTCCGTTACCCCAACGCATTCACATGCAATAGCATGCTTGTATGCATGATATTTTACGCATCAAAGCCATAAAATCATTTAATATTGTTATATGGGCCAAAATTCTGATGATTAAACAAGTTTTCATCACATTCCCTACTTATCTGTAAACAGGTGGTATCAGTTGAAATCCCTATGACAGGCCTCACGTGTAAGTATTTTTGCGCGTGCGCGCAAGGACGGAATCCCCCAGAGAAATCAAGGTCACGTTTTGACAACGCACAGGTGAAAGTGATTTAAAATAAGACATTTTATACGTACTGCCGAACTGACACTTAGATTTTGTCTCGTTTATGCATCTGATTGATTTGAAATGAATTTTTGAAAAATGCAAGTAAAAATCAAGCGTTTATATGAAAAATACGGGTACTGCTTCTGTACGGGAACTGCTCGATCGCATGCCGGCCAGTATAGACACAGACGCTTGTGGTTTGGAGCTCAAAACGCCCTTAAAATCCAAATAAAATGCATATTTGTCAATCCCAGCACATTTACTGATCATATATATCAAAAATACTTAATATAAGCCGTTTTGAAAAAATTTCATATTTCAACATCTATAATAATACATTATTATAGATGTTGAAATATGAATTTTTTTCAAAACGGCTTATATTAAGTTTTTTTATATATATGATCAGTACATGTGCTGGGATTGACAAATATGCATTTAATTTGGATTTTAAAGGCGTTTTGAGCTCCAAACCCCAAGCGTCTGTGAGTAAAGATACTAGATATTAATTCAGTCAATACCTATGGCTTCCGTTTGATTGATATGTGTAAATCATTAGGATTTTTGATTGCTAATGGTCGATGTGGGTCAGATATTAATATATTGGTCGTAACAATGTAAAAATACTAGTTCAGTAGATTATGTTTTAATGTCTCCTTGCGATTTACTAAAAGTGAGAAGTTTCATTGTAAATGATCATGAACCTATATTGTCTGATATCCACTAAAGTATAGAAGTTACATTAAACATTAATGTTACACAGGTTAAAGCTGAAGTTACAAATAACTCCTATAATAAGTGCATACCTGCTGTTGTGAAAAAAAAAACCGTTCTGGGATAACAGTTTAAAAGACAGTTACATAAATATTTCTGATATTGACAGTATGAATAGTTTGAAGAATGAGTTGTATAATGTTTATGAAGGAAAACTTTATCCAGATGAGTGCATTAATGATCTCAAAACGACGTTATCTAGCTTTATTTCAAATACTGCTGCCAATGCCAATTTGATATCTGAAAAGACAGTTTATAGCTCTACAAAGAATATTCGTAAGTCTAGTCATCATGAATGGTTGATGTAGAGTGTAAACAAACTAATAACAGATATAATCGTGACAAAAACCACTATAGAAGAGTAAAAACTGTTGTCAACTATAACAATATGATGGAGATTTGCAAACTATATAGACAAACACTTAACCGTAAACTCAGTCAATATCGGATGTGAGCAAAAAACTTAAAGGCTTGCGATCAACCGATCCCAAGTCGTATTGGAGTCTTCTTAACAAATATTCTGGTAAAAAAAGGACATAGTTTCAAACATATCAAATCAAGTATTTTATGAACATTTTGAACAAATTAACAAGTCAAATGTTACTAATGATCATGTTGATGACATTGATTTGAACAATATTTCTTCAACAATGAATTGTTAAATTCATAAATAAGTGTTACAGACGTTAACAAAATTGTTAAAAACTTGAAGAACAATAAAAGTTCATCGGCATTTGATAACATTTTAAATGAATATTTTAAGTATGCTGACAATGATGAATTTTTATCACTCATTTGTCAATTTTTTAACATTGTTTTGGATTCTGGTATATTTCCTGAAATATGGAGCCGGGGAATCATATTACCATTATACAAAAATAAGGGAGATAAGGAAGATCCAAATAATTATAGAGGAATCACTATTTTGAGTTGTTTTGGCAAACCTTTTACAAATCTGTTGAATACTAGATTAAATTCCTATTTAGAATGTCACAATTTGTTAAATGAAGAACAAGCTGGCTTTCGTAAAACTTATGGAACTATTGATTAAATCTTCACATTCAAATTGCTAATAGACTTCTATTTAGGTTCTGAGAAGAAATTATATTGTGCATTTGTTGATTATAGGAAGCTTTTGATTCAGTAAATCGAACCTATCTTTTTTAGCAAAAGTTACTGGCACATAATAATGACGGTAAATGTTTTAAAATTATATATGATATGTATCAAAAGGCTAAATCCTGTGTTAAGTCCGTAATATTTTGTCAAGCTTTTTCACCAGTGATCCAGGCGTCGCCAGGGCCCATATTATTTTCAATTTTTCTTAATGATTTGTCTCAATTATGTCGACAAAGTTCGAGGGGCTAGGATCATTCTCAAAATCAACATTTGATTTATCGAGTGGGAATGATTTTGATGTATATCTTAGACTTTATTTGTTGCTTTATGCGGACGACACGGTACTGTTTGCGGAGTGCCAGTCTGATTTGCAGAGTGCTTTAAATGCTATGTTTGATAATTGTAAGAGTTGGGACTTGCAAGTTAATGCAGATAAGACAAAAGTACTTATTTTTTTCTAAAAGACAATCAAATCCAATTCCTTTTTTCTATATTGGTAAACAACTTGAAGTTGTTAATGAATACCAATACCTTGGAATTTTGTTTAGCTATAATGGCAATTTTTCAAAGTCTAAGTCCAAATTAGTTGAACAAGCAAGGAAAGCTATGTTCTCAGTTATTCTAAAATCCCGAAAAATTGGATTATCAATATCTGCTCAACTGCATTTTTTTGATTCGATGATTGCTCCTACATCAAAGTATGGCTGTGAAACTTGGGGGTATGAAAATATTGACATAATGTTGAAGTTTCAACTTAAATATTACAAACAAATTCTGGGTCGTGAACAATCTACACCGAACTGTATGATTTATGGGGAATTAGGGATAAAGCCTATTTCTATACAAATTCAATAAAGAGTGCTTTGCTACTGGTCAAAACATTTGTCATTTAGAAGAGACAAAATATGTAAAATAGTCTACAATACTGCTCTAGCATTACATTCTAACAATATATGTTAGTTTCCGTGGACAAATTTTGTCAAAAAACACTCTTGATGATTTGGGACTTTCTGAGTATTCAGAATGTTAGTAATTTGTTAAATTTCAAAAAATGCTGTTAAAACCAAATTAAATGATTTGTTTTTGAATGAATGGTACAACACGGTGGGTACATATCTCCTAAATGTTTAGTTTATCGTATGTTTAAAAAGGAATGCAAGTTTGAAGAATGTTTAGACGAACTAGCTGTTGATCTTATGAAATATCTTTGCAAATTTAGAACTACAAATCACCACCTGAGAAAAGGGCTGCCATCTTGGCATTGAAAAAAATCTTAGAACCTGTACTCATTGTTATAAAAACATAATTGGTGATGAATTTCATTATTTGCTTGAATGTGATACTTTTAAAGAAATCAGAACAAAAATGTTGGAGGAAATATTATTATTGTCACTCAAATGCCTGTAAATTGAATGAGCTAATGAACAGTAAAGATCATGTAATATTAACAAAATTAGCTTTACTTTGTAAGAAAATCCTATTAGTTGTTAAATGAGATCCTTTTTTTTCTCTTTTTTGAGGGGGGGGGGTGGGGGGGGGGGGGTGGGGGGGGGGTCATTCTCTAATTTTGTTATTTTCTATTTTACAATGGTATAGCATTAATTCATTATAAGTGTTGAAATTGTGTCAATCTTGTAATTGTTTATTACCTATGTTTGATGAAGTTTTTGTTGTTTTGTTAGCTGTCTATGTTCCTATGAAAATGTGTTTTCATTAATAAAAGACTTGAATTGAATCTTTTCATTGCATTTTAAAAGTTAACAAAGAAAATAAATATATAAAAGGCAAAAGAAAATTGAGAATGAAATTTCACTTCATGCTCATTTTGACAGAGTGCTATTTCATGAACGGAGTATTCCAACAAAAGGTCTTTGAAAAATTCTTCAGAAATAAATTTAATAAAAAAAACTCCACAATTAGCAATAATTGTTCATCAGTTGGCAATATAACTGATGATCATTGATAACAGAAATTAGTCAATCGAAATTTGAAAATAAAAGGTTTGTCAAAACACATTTTATAGGAAAAGCTTAATATACTCTCTTTGAACCTGAATATATTGTTACGCAAATTCCATTCTTGATTCAATAACTTCGTTGTATAATCTAATAAGCTGTGTACTTGACACGTTTATTCACTATTCAGATTTTTATATAAATATATTATGATAATGCAAACGCATGACTTTAGGCTATTCCACTGGCCAACCCGAAAGAAAATCAAACCAAAAAAGGGTCACGATTGCTCGCCCCACCCTGAAAAACAAACAAACAAACAAACAAAACCAAACGATGCTTTTACAAAACTTCTTTAAGTTGATACAGAATGAATAATTACGGCTAACACTATATCATGTGAGTGTCTGGCAGTTCTGTTAACAGCTAGAAAATGCTGCATTTTACAAAAATTTTGTAGTGTTTATATATACAATGAAATCATCTCATCGTTTAAAACCCATGCAACGCGGGCATCTTATGCCAATACCGGTTCACAATTACCCCTATATTGCCAATCTCGAACAACCTTGGACCAATAGTAGGGCAGCATTGACTCCAATATATAGTGATTTTACGGTATATATACAGAATAAATATAAACCATCGCCATCCCACACTAGCATCACCATCCCACACTTGCAACTGTCGGCGAGTGTCCTGTGCCTGATATTTTCGTAAATGGAATAGAGCTAGTGCACTAGCTTATATGTACGAAATTGGACTAAAAGTTAGGTAATGATTGTCTCCAGAAAGTCGAGCAATTTGCAAAATCCGACTGGCTAAACCCATGTCATGCTGGCATCTGGCTGTCATGTTTCTTGGGAGAGCATCACATGTCATATATTGTTAAAAATGGAAGAATATTGATTCGGGTAAACAATCGTTTATTGTTCGACACCAACTTTGTCATACATTTCAAAAATGTGAACATAATTGTTTAAAGCAGCATGTCCCCAGATTCATTCCAGTCTCTGGATCTCTAGAGATAATATGAATCATGATCTTTAAATAAAACATTGTATTAGCTTCTGTAGTGTTCAAACCCTGGACATCTGAGTTGAATGGCAAACACATAAACCTTTATACTTAAAATGAGACTTTGTAATTATGGCGTGTACTTTTTTCATTTCTGTAATTTTCCATGATTAAAGTTCATGATTAAAGATTATTTTTCATATAAAGATAAAATATGAAACACATACCAATTTTATCACAATCTGTGTCATCTGTTATATCAGGCGATTGACCTTTTCCCGTTTTTATTTAACTTAAAGATGTGAAATAGGTAAAATGTGCACTAAAACTGTCAGCAAATGAACCAATTTTTTATAAACTTTTGGCAAATGTATTTAAATATATCTAATTTGTTGAGTATTGTTTATTAATTGTTTAAGTAATTAATCATTTACTGACTGAAGTCATTGTCAGTTGAGATAATACTCTTTAGTCAATCGCATTATTTTTCATTTCATCGCAATAAAAAAATGATGTCACCTGAAAATATAAGTCTGGCTGCCATACCAGAAGGAGCATATATCTACAATGGATAGCGACGCTCATTTAATGCAGTCCCAGTACTTAGTTAAACAGGACCACCGGTATGGCACCAAGACGGGCAAGCAACGAACCATAAAGGAAGACACAATTGAGGGTGATGCAACGCACCGACCATTGTTAAGAATTAACAATTTATTCAGGAAAAGCATAGGATTTTAAATGACAATATTAACCATGGCAACTGATTATACAAAAGTGGGCGAATCTGGATTACAGAAATATAAGGGAGGACTGGGAAGGTGGAGTTAGTATAACAATTTGGAAATTCAGTGGATCGGTGTGTGTGAGGGAGAAATATTTCGCGTTGACGACACATTAAATGCAACATTGGAAATGAAGACAACACGTATGAATTCGTTTATACATATGTTACAGGACCTTAATTAAAGCAACATAGAAAGGCACCTTCTTGGAACGGTCAGTAGCAAAACCACTACTGAGTTTATACCGGAGCATCAAATCTCACACTCAGTCACAATATGTTCCTTTATGTCAGGTCAGTGTTAATAAAATGATTCCACAAAAAAATAGATAAATAAAGCAGAGAAATGCTCTTGTAAAAACATATAAAAAGGAAAACAAAATGCCAATAACAAAAGTACTCAATTTCTTTAAAGGAAAGCAGGGTAGCAAGCAAATCACCTACGAATGCCCGTATAAACAAGGCAGAAGACGCAAAATCTGCCTACCATACGTTCTACCATTTGGTCCATCATATGCAAGCAAAAGAGAAAAGCGTAATGTCCAACTTCTTTTTGCTTGCGGTTTACGTCGCATGCAACAACACAGTATTAAAGGTCATATGGCGATAATCCGACTTTACTGGTGGGAGAAGAAGACCTTACCTATCTTCATGCAGGCACGAACGGACACAGGAGTAGAGCCAGCTAGCTGGATGTCTCCATCACGTAAACATGAAAGAATCCAAAGTCAACGACCATAACCACTCGGCCACGGACTCCCCTATAAAATGATTAAGTATATCTTAGACTAGTTGAGTTATTATATTTGCCTCTATTAAATAAAACGCGTACGTTTAACGCCTTCAGATTTGGTAAAGACGGTTGAAAAAAAATACCATGACCAACTATCATACGAATTTTATAAACCATATCTTCATAGAAAAACAGGCTTGCTTAAATCTAGTCGCAAAAGTTTTTTTAAGTTGTCCGTGAGCTTTAGATATTAATTAAAAGATTCGATGAGGCTTATTTAATGTATGAAAGAAATACTTCACGTATTCAAAAACAATGCAGAAAGAAATAAGATTCAGTCAAAGATCGAATTAATCAGCATTTGTGTCATATGGTGACCGTTTTATTTCTTATTCGTTATTTATCTAATTGATATAAAATAGATTAAATTGTACTTCAACTGTCACCAATTTAAGACAAAGATAAAGCAACGGCAAGTAAAAATAGAGCTTTTCATAGTAAAATGTGACGTAAATTAAAAGATTATGTGACAAAGTTTATATTGTTACATTTTTTTTCTGGTCATTCGGGATCATTGATGCCAGCACTAATAAGAGAATTGAGAACCGCTCAATCAAACCGAGTCTGCACTTCTATTGTATTTTTTTTTTGTGATAAATGCTTCCGAGGGATCGCTTTGTTTCCAGATTTTTATACTTCACATCAGCAGGTGTCAAGTGCTGTGTGTCAGCTGTAAAAAGTTGCCCCGTACTTTACTTCAGTGTTTTTATATTTTTCTTGTCCTGCCAGCGCTATTAAGTGTTGAGAATTGAGTACTGCTCAAGCCGGTGATAATGGGCGTGAGGATTGTTACACATATTCATTATCCCTCATGTACAGACTCAATCAAACCGAGTCTGCAATTCTCTTGTAATTTTGTTATGATTTATGCTTCCGAGGGATCACTTTGTTTCCAGATTTTTTTACAGTACACAAATTAAGTTTAAATGTACATAATTGTTCTCCCTCTGTACGAGTCTAGTGAATCAATTTTGAAATCAGAAAGTCAAAGTACGTGGAGTAACTTTTAATAAAATCATCGTTTTGATCCTTAAATACTGCCGAAAATTATTTATATAAGATTTTCTATAAAAATCTAAAGGTTGAAAAAACGATTTAAAAAGGGAGAATTATATGATACTTAGCTGATATTTTACAGATTAACTCATGCTGCATAATTTATTTGTGAAGTTTTGGCTTACACGTTCATACAATAGAATATAGTTCTTTACTGTAATCAGTTCTGCTGTCATTCCAACGCTTTAAAAACTTTGGAATGATTAAATTTTACGACAGAATTCGAAAATACTAAAATGTGGATGCTTGTTAAGAGGCTGACATTTAAAGTTTTAATGAAAAATAATTTTCAATACGTGATGATAATTCATTTGTTTACCAGTCATGTGTTAAAAGGTGTGAAAGGTGATGTTGTTTTTATCTACACATACAAATATGATCCCTGATATGAAATTGATATCTATCTAACTATAAATCTTAAAACTAGTACAAATGTGAAAACGTATAGAAATGACATTCCCATATTAATTCAAGTATATGGAGACGAGATAAGACCAATGCCCTTCACCAATTTTATTTATTACACATCGGAATGCGGCATGATGATGAAAATAATAATAAAAAAGAAAATAACAAACAAACAACAAACAAAAACAAAGAAACCTAATATCAAAACTTTAATCAACTCATTGAAGGTATTACTACCTTTTAAACTAAAATGAATAATGATGAATCGTGTATTACTTAAATCACATAGTAGATCTAATCAACCTTGACAAAACCAATATAATATATATAAATAATAAGAAATAGAGAAAAAAGTAAGATAACATACACTAGAAATAAAGAAATGACATATTTTTAGTCAGGTAAAAGGGTAATGGTCATTGCAAACAAAGCAAATCCTAGTACTGTAGCACTGCACTTTAAGAGTCTATTACCCTCGTTAGGTAAAAATTCTTTCAGTAATATTTCAAATAATGCAACGTAAATGAACGTTCCCACAGCAAATGACTGTAGAACAGCCGATGCTCGGTTAGTTGCAAGACTTTCTCCCTCTAATGATAAGGCAATTCCAATTCCTACACCAATTGGTGAAACAGCAGCCAAATAAACCATTGCGATCGCAAACTTAACGAAACTGGTAGTCTCGCACATCTTCAGACCAATGCTGAAGAAAATAAGAACTTTATGAATGCTTAATGCAAGAAGAATCGACCACACTTTATTTTCGTCGTGAAGGAGTCCCAACTCTAATCCATCGAATACCATATGAATTGAAAAGGCCATCAACAGAATCATGTTGCGTAAATTAGTCATGTCTTGTCCGAAAAATTGTCCATCGGCGTTGTTCTCGTCAGTTCGTGATTCAGATAAAGTACTTGAAGCGTCTTTATTGTCTTTGAGTTCCATTGAGGTCATTGATATGGATGTAACCATCATGTGTCCACTTCCGCCATTTTGGATCGGCTTCTTTGCTTCAAAACGGTACTGGTTATCATTTACACGTGTGTGTCTTCTGTGGCAAGCTATTGTAACATTCTCTATAATCAAAATGAGTAAAAATCCGATGCCAAGAATCAGCTCTGATGCAGGATAGTTTTCGTCATCGTTGAATTTTATTTCCGCGCTTTGAATCTGTTCCCGCGCTTCCGGGAGCAGAACAAGAATTGAAGTAGAAAAGAAAACTCCTCCGGAGAAACAGTTTAAAACACTGAGAACATTGTTCACTGTGTTAGTGGATTTATTGTATCTTTTTTGGAGAACCTTTATCACACAGTAAGGTAAAGCAAATCCACATAAACATGATATTAAAAAGATTGTACCCAGCGCGCCGAACTTAGCTGTATTTAACATTTTGCAAATATTCAAAACAAAATTAGTAAATCCAAACTTTATTTTTCTCAAGCCGAATGTATTTCACAGTCTCAATTTCAAAATTATGGTAACCCACCTATCTCAGGTATGTTGTGTTTGCGTAGAGTTAAGTGACCAACTTAATAATTAAAACTGGTAGATTGAAAGTAAAAGGTCCTATAGTCCTTACTTTTAAACACAAATAATCAGTGTCGTGAACACAGTTGTGTCGCTTTATCACATTACTTTTTAGTTCAAAATGCAATTACTTTAAAATACAAAATCAGTAACATTTAAATCTTTATAAGTACAGCAAAAATATAGCAGTTTTTCATCATAAACTCATAGTTAAATGATGGATTAACCTGACTTTGCGGGTATTTATATAGTTTTAAAGACAGTACGTGTTGACCTGCGATAAGGAAATGTGAAAAGTTTTCTTTATGGTCTGTTTCAGTATATCTTTCACGTATTGACCTAAATTTGACATTAATGCAGGGCGTGATGTCCACATTTGGAAAACGTGAACAATGTGCTGAGCACTGTAATTCTTATGGTTTATCTCAAGTCACATATTTCAGATCTATTCTTTTCTTCTGTTCAATATATATTTGAGTCCACGAGTTTCTATTGCATATTTTATATTTATACCAGCTGGCTCTGAGAATCACGCTTAGTTGGTCCCAAAACTTTGAAGTAAAATATCAACTTATCCTATGCTTTGCTATGGCAATCATCAAAGTGTCATTTCATATTATTCCGGTTTATCTTAATGAGCAATATTATCTTTTTTTTTTTCACTTTCAAATTGAATTAATGAACTTGAAGAGAAAAAATTATTTTGATGGGTTTACATATACGCGCAGTAGCTATTAGTTTCGTATCAGGAATGTTTTTAATTTTAAAACAGATTGACTATGCTTTTTATCCAACAATTAAACAATTAAATGCGATTTGAAGTAAAATTGTGGTGGTTTATATTTTTAGACAGTGTTGATCTCAATACTGAACCTGTCATGTGAAAAGTGCAAGCTGCCCTGGCCTTGAACAGAGAATGTTATATCAGTATAGTCAGTTTCAATATGCCTTTCACAAGTCATGCCTTTCATTGGTGATTAGACTTTGCCACCAGTATATGGCCAGATCGAGCAACGTCCACATCCGTGTAGAGTACTGTTGGCTTGCTTTAAATTTTTATCTTGATATCCCTAAAATTGAAAATGGACACAATAAAATGGGAATATTGACAGGTCAATTTAAGAAATTTAGCAGGTTAAGTGAAAAATTATCGGGCGCCGTTTATTTGACTAGACAAGTAGCAGCTAGGGAGCAAAGTCGTGTTAATCTAAAGCAAGAGAATAAGAGAGAAAGTTCGCATTTATTTAAGTCACCAAAACCAAAATACAAACTAGAAATATGCTGTCACGCCACGGATACCCCCGCATGCAATAAACATTTAAGATGTTATATAGTATTTAGTTCCAAGTTTGTTTACACAAACTATTTTTTTTTCCATTTTAGTTCAAAACTCTTAAAGCTATTCAATGTTAATACAAACCATTTTTATACAAAGTTCAATGCATTTAAACTTTTTAGTGTTAACATTTTGTAAATTGTATATTGCATATGTGTAGCCATATAATGACTACATACATTTCCACCAATGTATGAGTGCTGAAACTGAAAGTTCAAAATTTTTCCAACATTCAAGAACTTTGTCCAAAATCATTGAACCATGATCAAATTCAAACTTGAACTGCTTATTCTTAAGAAGTATCTATATTTCAAATTTGAGTTGAATGTGCACAGCAGTTGGGGAGATAATGAACGGAAACTAAAAATCTGTGAATTTTTTTAAGTTCAAGAGTGATAACTCGGTTAGCTATCATCAAAACATGACCAAATTCGAACTTGACCAGTGTATTCTTATGAAATATCAATATTTAAATTTTAGTTACGTATGTACAAACGTTAAGGAGATGATGAACGGATATTGAACAATTCCTTTTTTTAAAGTTAAAGGGGCATTACTCTGCCAAAAATCATCGAATATGAGCAAATTCGAACTTGGCCGCATTCCTTTGACGTATCCTTATGACAAATTTAAGTTGAATGTGTAATACAGTTGGTGAGATGATGAACGGAAATAAAAAAAATCATATTATTTCCAAAGTATAAGGGTCATATGCCAAATTTGAGATGAATGTGTTAAACCATTGGGGAGATATGAACGGAAACCGAAAACTTCATATCATTTTAAAGTGAAAGGGGCATAACTCTGCCAAAAATCACCGAACCATGACCAAAGTCGATCCAATGTGTCAAATTTGAGTTGAATGCGTACAACTGTTGGGATAATGAACGGAAACTGAAAATTTTATCAATGGGCATAACTCTGTCAAAAATCATTGGACCATGATAAATTCGAACTTGACATGAAATATGTCAAATTTGAGGCACTCTATCTGAGGGGGCAAACAAAATTGTAAGCTATCAGCTAAATTCACGTAAATTCTTAATTTCTTTATCAGATGTGACAAAACAGGGAAAAGGTCAAACTTGAGTGTTCAAACATACATTACTAATACAGACCAGGGTAACTAACTTTCGGTAGATTTTCAATTTTGATGCAAAAACGGGAACACGAGAGTTTATATACTGTAAAAGAACGTTTGAATTACACCAAACTCATCGATCAAGTGTAATTTGAATTAGTAAATTAGAAATCAATTAAATTACATGCACATGCACTAGTAGAGTGTGACTACTCTTGAACAAACAAATCACTTTGCAGTAATTTCGAACGATATTTAAGAAATAACACAAACAGCTGATGGCCATCTAGCAGTAGTTAGTAACCTTTTGAGGTGTTTTTTTGGCCTACAAATATTGAACGGAAAGTAAGAAATAAAGTTGTTTTATACTATGCACTGGTTAGGCATATTAAAAACCTCAAGTTGTGCATTGAAATTAATATTATACTTTCTGTAATCATATTTATTCCATGTCCTTTGATAATATCATTTTTAATATTAATCATTCCGTGATCAGATACGAATTTCCATAAAAGATATCCTTGAAAACTCTGATATTATATATTAGCTTATATGTATATTGTTTGTATGTTTGTGTGTGTGTGGTTTTTTTAGTTCACAAAACGTCTAAAGAATGTGTCACAGAATACCATGATAGGAACAACAAACTATTTGATTATTTTATCAGATTTGTAGATATACTGGAAAATGAAACTCAACAGTTATTTGAGTTGTAATACTTTATTCATGAAGAAATTTAAAAGATGTGAGACTATAATTTCTTCAACCTAGTCGTAATCACATTTGATGTCCTCAATATCCACTTCTTCCCAATCATCCCAACAGCACAGTCTGCAGCAATCTAAATGATCATCGTACGCTTGCTCTATTGTGAGGTACTTCAAAAGCGCAACTCTCAATGGTGGAATGACTTCGTCTTGTCTCTCTATAGGTATGATCTTAATTTTTCGCCTTCTTTTCTTTACTATCTTCACAATTTGACCTTTCGCTGCTTTTCTTTTCTTTTGATCTTTCTTTTTCCGTTCATTATGTTTTCGCTTCTTTATTAAAGATTGCTTCAATTTAAGCTTCTTTGTGGTCGTTTTCTTCACGCGCTTTTTGAGTCGTAACATTTTCTTCTCTGATGTTTTAGCCTGTCGAACATTTTGTACTGCCTTCTTAATCTTTTTCTTAAGTTGGTTGACTTTTACAGAAGCCTTAGATGACGTTTGTTTGTTCTTTGTTCCTTTCTTATTTGGTGCAAGAGTGAGATATTTTCGTTTATCATTTGCAAGTTTTTTACTCCTGTTCTTGCCCTTCAAAGGTGCAACAGACATTTTACGTTTCTTTGCCTGAGCAAGTTTGCAATTTCCACGATCCACGTGTCTTCTTTTCCTACTTTGCTTGCATCGCGAACTTTCTTTTCTCTTTACCCAAAGCTTTTTTGAAACTACACTTTTTCGTTTCTTAGTTTGTTGATTAAGCTTTCTCTTTTTGCTACATAACACATAATCTGATTTGATTTTCTTTATTGGAACGTTCAGACGTTTTGTTAATTTTGAATATTTCGATCGAACCGTGCAATTTTCGTTCCTATCCAAAACGGAACCATCTGTTTGTTCATCCATTAGCGATATGGGCTCAGCACTGACTTCATCAGATACACAAAATGATTTAATCAGTAACGGATTCTCATTGATGTTAGTTACAATTTTGTCTGCTGGTTCAACTTTTATTTGTGCAATGTAAGGGTGGAACTTTCTTAGTTTTGTTTTCTTTGTGCACACTTTCCTTGTAGGTTTGACTTCTTGAGCCTTTCCTTCCTTTTGCACTAATGCTGCAGAATCGTCAACAGTTTCTGGAAGTGCAAATCGAACTTGCTTTTTTCTTTTATTGCTCTTGTCTTTAGATGGTAAAATTTCCATTGAGACAAGTTGACTTGACAGGTTGATAACATCTAGCGAAAAAAAAGTGTTTTTTTTTAATGTTTGTGGCATATGGAGTATTTCAATATCAATAAAAATCATAATTTGTCTGAACTAAGTAATACAAATATTAAAAACCGTGATGGAATATCGAATATGTATTGAAACTGGTTAGATATGTATCTTATTCGTATCGAAAATGGGGCGTCCGTGGTCGAGTGGTTAAGGTCGTTGACCTCAAACCACTTGCCCCTCACCGCTGTGGGTTCGACTCCCGACAGGGACTTTGGATTCTTTCTTGTGAGGAAGCTGTCCAGCCAGCTTACGGAACGTCGGTGGAACGTCGGTGCCCGTTCGTGCCTGAAATAATGCATGGAAGGGCACCTGAGGTCTTCCTCCACCAGTAAAGCTGGAACGTCGCCAAATGACCTATATTTTTTCGGTGTGACGTAAAACCCAATCAAAGCAAAAACAAAAGTATCGAAACTGGTAAAGTATATACATGTATGTGCTTTTCATAAGGTTTTTAATTATGTAATGGTTAAAGATAAGTCTAGTGATGACGTGCGAAATTTCGTAAGAGCAACTAAAACTTTTTGTCCTTATTATAGTCAAGATAACTTTCAAATTCAAATTTGTACTTGATAGAATTGTATGTATCTAGGCGTCTTGAATTATTTATAGAACAATACCAACTTTGAAAAAAATCTAATATTTGTCGCTTTATAATATTGTAGTCAATTAAAGATCCTGTAACAAATATTTGTATGGTTTTATATCATAAATATGATGCTCAAATTAAGATTGATCAATTTTGTAAGTTTCGAAAGGTATTATTTATAAATATATTATCGAATTTAACATTTCATGTAAATAAAGGGAGGCAATACAAATTCATTTTCTATATTTAACAATAAATAATGAATGCATATATTTTAATGATAACATGTAATATGTACAAATATTTGCAGTACATATTTTACATAATCTTCGATGTTTGAAAATTGTTTTATAAGCATAATTATATACATATATAATTATAATTTCACTTAAGTGTGGTATACAACCTCAATTAAAACATACAGAATCTTTAATATGTAAAATTGATTTTGCCAAATGTACGAAAGTCCTTATTGTGGAGTAAAGGTCAGATGACATGGATTATATGAGCCGCGCCATGAAAAAACCAACATAATGGGTTTGCGACCAGCATGGATCCAGACCAGCCTGCGCGTCCGCGCAGTCTAATCAGGATCCATGCTGTTCGCTATTAGTTTCTCTACCTGTAATAGGGTTGGTAAGCGAACAGCATGGATCCTGATCAGACTGCGCGGATATAAACAATAGGTCATGATATATTGCTACGAACAATACTGACTCTATTGGACTCGTACAGCTGCAAAAACATATATCAGACCCGGATAGCGCCTCGTCCAATATAAGTTTGACAGCTGTGTACTCTTCCTATAGAATCCAGTATTGTACTCACGAGTGTATAATAACCCTATAATATTTTACACCCAATAAAATGAAACCAATGAACTTCCAGTGTCTGCACCATGTGATCTCCAATAAATCTTATAAAAAATACTTATCAAATATAGGCACATTTCATAAGCAGTGCACTCAAAAGCAAAATGTCCTAAATATTCTCTACAAAGTATGGTAGCTGATTGGTACCATATCGTATTTTTGTTCCACGGGGCGCAAGGCTTAAACACAAAAATGCGACAAATTAATCACTTTGCCGTAATTTCGTTTTTTTGACTTACGAAAAAGCGGGGCGCCAGACGAAATCACGAGAGCACGAAAATACGACATCGTATTGTATGTTTGGTTTTCGCCCCGCGGGGCGCTAGATTACTTAATTTATCGTATTTTTGTATACCCGCGGAGCGAAAGAACGACATGGCACCAATAAGCCACCATAAAAAATACGTTATTTATTATTTATTTTAGTTACCAAGTAAGGAAGCGTTTAATTTATCACGTGGGGTTCTGTTGGAACTTTTGTCAGGTGTATCTGAAATCGAAGAGGTCTGGGCGTTTTGATTACTGCAAGGTTCTAGGTTCACACTTGAATCAGGCGCGACCGGGGGACACGGATCTATAAATAGAAACAAGTAAAATCATGTGAATGTTCTTGCATTAAAACTGTTTTTGTTGTTGTTGTTTGTTTGTTGTTTTTTTTTGTTGTTTTTTTTTCGTACGAAATATCGGATCAGATGTGTTCAACCATTATTGCAACATTTATATATTATTTAAACGACGTCCTGCAAAAAGACACAAGAAAAATGTGATTGTTTTGTCTGTATCATGGCATTTAATAGTTTCAATCCCTTAAGTACGCACACTCAGTCACTTGCAATGCATTAAAAACTAAATCATGTAAGTAATATTAATTATCGAAACACATAATAGCGGACGAGATATCTAAGCTATGCAAAATATTTCTGTTTAGTTCAACTCTATTTGAAGAAAGAAGAAAACAGTGACTTTTCTAAAGCAGTCATCTTCGAAAACAACTTTGTCATGACGTTCCAGACAAAGAGAATGTTCTGGAATTGTTTTTATAATCAATTAGCAAGTATGTCATAGAGTTGAAGATAACGAGAATCTTCTTCAATTAAGATGGTATTAGAAACAGTATCATATAGGGTCTTTCACACGTTTTACAGAACATGCACATCCCTATTAAAAACCCTTAGCTTGCTGGCTGAGTCTAGCCATGCACGGCACATCCGGGCCGTCTGATCATGGTCTGCATCGTTCGCTACTCAAAAAATAAGTATTTTGATTTTTCCCCTAAAAATAATACATCTTTTTGTCTAGAAGTCCGTTTCAGATTTTTAGCAGAATAAGGATTGATTTTAACAATATGTACGTTGGCAAAGGCTACCTTAAAATTTGATGCATAAAAAACTTTTAATATCTCAAGATAAGTTTGGTCTTTTTAAAAAGAAATACATTGTGTTAACAATTCATACTAACTATTCATCCTGATATTATTATTATTATTGTTGTTGTTTTGTACGATATATAATGTAAACATTATATAATGATATATCCATATAATGGCCAGTCTATCTATACTTCAGTACTTTGATTTTAAAGACATATTAATTAAGTACAGTGTTATTGGGCTTCTGCTCTGTGTGGTGGATGTCTTTTTAAATCTATTTATACAACGTAATAAAAATAAGTAGCCTTTGTATGTTCGAACTGTACGCTTTTATGATATGTTAAATTGTTTGTCTTATTTCATGGTCATCGTCCGAAATACTACATACATTTTGTATTTCATAGTGTGGCTAAAAACAACAATGTTTAATAATGATTTCTTAACCCTGTTAAAATCAAACTATATCATTTGCAAATATTTAATAACAGAAGAGATATTCAGTATCTAGATTTTGACTATGTAATGTTAAGAAATTAACAATTCAAAATAAGAAGCTCAGATTTCATTATGTGAGGCAAGCTGTGAACTAATGAACAGATGTACTTACTTCCCATGCCTACTTGGTCCAGAATTTATACGATGTTGTTTTGTATTACATGAACAATTTTATTTAAGTTATATCCGCATCTATCTTTTATATACACGTTTCAGCAACCATGGCGTTAACTGTGACGTCATTTTAACGGCGTCATTAAAATAGTATAACGTGAGAAAAACGATGAACGTAACTACATGTATATGTATTGTGGGCTTTCAATTTTGGTGCCGGCACTCACATGGCCGTAATTCCAACCACTCTGATAAATGGAATAATTTCTTATTTCTGTCAAAACATCTCAAACCCCCAACTTTTTACCTCCTTTATTTGGTTAAAATATGATTGACAAGATCAACAAGGAAATACGGCGTTCAATGAACGCAAGCCCCACAAAAGCCTTAGATTCTAAAGCCTTAGAAGTGTAGTGTTACCAGTTTTAAAAACCTCTGGCGATAATTTCTAATGATCGGAAAGAAGATGATCAATGTAAAATGCTGCAGGTGTAAAAACAGTTATAGGTTACAATTAATATAAAGTATCATTTTATTAAAGGCATTTGGACAGTTCAGTGTCCAAGATTTGGAAGAATGTTTCTGAGCTCAAACTCGGATCTAAAGTATTTTATTGGTCAGAAACCAGGACAGAATTTTTGACAAATGAAAATCCTGAAATTCGAGACAGAGTTCAGAAAATAAGTTTCATAACATTTGGGCCTGATCTTTTGTGTGCTTTTATAGCCAACATGGCCACGAAGAGTTTTCTTTAAATGTTCCTATATATTAAGTAAGCTCTTTTAGCAATGTAGTTCCGCCTCTGAGCTGAATATGGAGAGTATCGGATTAGTTATCCAGGTTGGCTTAATTTATCCGTGACAATTAATATCGTACTTTGAATCTAATGGTCTCGTGTTCGGGATTGGTAGTCGGTCACCTGCGGAGAACTATGTATAATTAATGATTAGTTGTTAATATAATAATATACGCGCCACATGTACTAATCAAGAGTACTCACCTGTATCTTGTATCCTGTCCAGAATGTTTCGGCTTTTTACTGTATTAAACCAAAACCATTCCTGACATTACCCCTGACGTTACAGTAACCAAGACGTCAATCGTGACGTCATAGTATCATCGTCATTTCAATAACATACCGTGAGTATTACAATGACAAATGTAACTAATTTTTCAGTACTTCATTGGCAATGTCTTCTAAAATTAACAAATTTATCAAATCTAAGATAATTTACTCATGCGCTGATACAGAACTGGGTTAACGGGTCAGGACCTTCCCCTTCTCCAGTAAATAATGTAATTAAAGTCCTTTATTATTATTATTGTTATCGCGATGACGTGCGATAGTCTCAGCAGATTTGTACTCAAAACGAATGGGAAATACCCATAGAATCGCAGTATATTCAGCAAAGTTAAAAGACAGACATCAATGTAAAGGCATAAGTCTAGTGAACAATATTAAATTTAAATGGAGAAAATCGGATTAGAATTGAAATAAACCAGGCAACTTTATTGATTAAAAGACGCAATTCCTTCGCCGCCGATAGGGGGCGCTTTGACGTTATACCAACGCTCTTGTTATCATTCTCCTCCTCAATATGATCTATCCACCTATGAAGTTTCAAGTTGATACCTCAAATACTTTTTGAGATATGCTCCGGACAAAAATGTGGGACGGACGGACGGAGACTATTTGTATATAATAAACATATATAATTTTGCCAATTTCTCATTTGGAAGACGCAGAAAATTAGATCCAGATTGTAGAAAACCATGGTTAAGCGGAAGAAAATTAACTATAGATAAACTGTTTTTTTTTGTCCAAAAGCAATCTCAAAATATATTTTCACAATCAATATTATATAAATTTAGTTGCAAAAGAGACAATTATTTGGAAATTCTGCAAAACTCCACAGGAAGTAAATTTTACAATGCAAAACTCACAGGAACTAAATCTTATAATGCAAAACTCCACAGGAACTAAAGTTTACAATGCAAAACTCCGCAGGAACTATAGTTAACAATGCAAAACTCCACAGGGTCTAAGGTTTACAATGCAAAACTCCACAGTAACTATAGATAAACATGCAAAACTCCATAGGAACTAATAGTTTTCAGTGCAAAAGAACTATAGTTTACAATGCAAAACTCCACAGGATCTATAGTTTACAATGAAAAACTCCACAGGAACTATAGTTTACAAGGTTATCCACAGGATCTATAGTTTACAATGCAAAACTCCACAGGAAGTAACAGTTTTTAATGCAAAACTCCACAGAAACTATAGTTAAGAATGCGAAACTCCACAGGAACTATATTTTACAATGTCAAACTCCACAGGAACTAAAGCTTACAATGCAAAACTACACTTGAATTATAGTTTACAGTGCAAAACTCCAAAGGAACTATAGTTTTCAATGCAAAACTCCACAAAAAAACTGTAGGTTACGATGCAAAATTCCACAGGAACTGTAGTTTACAATGCAAAACAACACAGGAACTATAGTTTACAATGCAAAACTCCACAGGAACTAACAGTTTCAATGCAAAACTCCACAGGAACTATAGTTTACAATGCACAACTCCACAGAACTAAAGTTTACAATGCAAAACTCCACAGAAACCATAGTTAAGAATGCAAAACTCCACAGGAACTATATTTTACAATGTCCACAGAAACTAAAGTTTACAATGCAAAACTCCACAGGAAGTACAGTTTACAGTGCAAAACTCCAAAGGAACTATAGTTTTCAATGCAAAACTCCACAGGAGCTTTTTTATACAACTAAATTAAATACTTCAGGGCATAGAATTTTTTTTCAAAGGAGAAAATCTCAGAATAAAATGCCATTTTAAAGGTCCATTTCACTCTTAGACTTCGTCAAACTTCCATATAACAGGGCAGTTGATCAGTACTTTATCCATTAAAATAACACTTGTCATTGAAAAGGGGCCACACACAAGTATACGAAAGAATACATAACATTTGTGCAATAGTTTTCTTCGTTACAGAAAGAGGCCACACATTAATATTCGAAAGAATACAATACATTTGTGGAAGATTTTTCTTTGTCACAGAAAGGGGCCACACATAAATATACGAAAGAATACATCATATTTGTGAAAGATTTTTTTTCTTTAATTTCTTAAGAAAAAGTCTGCACAGCTAATTACACAAAGTGAACATTATACACATGTATTTAGCTTACAGTTGTGATAGCACTATGTATTGATGATGATATAGAAAATATCTCACTAGAAATATGTTAAGTCTGACATCATTTAAACAATCTAATTTTTTTAACTCCTTCATTTTCAACAAAGATCACGCACATACCTCATTTTGTAATGTACAATGTCATATTTCTAATGACCACTTGAGTTTAAAAGTCCAAACTGGTCCATTAGCCTCACAAATTTTAGCCATATTTCTGCACAATTTTAAAAACTAATTTCGCAAAGCCCTGTTGGCCATTAATGAGAAATGATGGTACTTCTTGATGTTTAAGCACAAAGTTTAACACTAAAAAAAGCTGTTAATCTTAAGACCAAATTTTGAGCAAAGCAAGCCATCAAAAAGCATACAACATCACCTTACTGCAATAACAGGTTACGTCCTTCTAAATTTAATAGGAGTTAACCAGTTATTGCACTAAGATGACAAGGTACTGATATCATTTCTCATTAAACAGCCGATAAAATGAATCACAAAATGCTTTCTTTGTATCCTTGAGATTTTTCTTTTTATCTTTTAAGAGAAATACTTCTCTATTCAGCGATCTTGGAACAAATATATCTCCATCACCCTTAAACAGCAAAAATAAAAATAATTTCTATTCCATAATGAATGGCAAAAAGTCTCAAAATTTGCTTAACTACCCCAGACTCTTGTATTGCAATCAGGTGGCGAAGTATTAGTAATCCTTGTATGAAATTAAAGAATACAAAAGAACAATATATAGAATGTTTATGTAATTAAAAAAGAAAATTTGCTAAATATAAATATATGCAAATTCTCTTAAACAGCACTGTGAAAAAAAATACAAACATTTGAATCTGAAGATTTCATAAGTATAACAACGTCCGCTTAAAATAATGACCATGTTTGTCATTAGTACACAAAAATAAACTCCTCTCTTTTTTCTTTAAATAACAAAATTCTCTAAACTTGCGTCTACATTTATACTGTTTATCTTAATAACGTCACTGTAATTTCGCCGAATATCCCAGCCTTTTTGTTGTTACTGATATTTTCTTTAAAACTAGGTCACTTCCTAAAGCGATGTGAACACTTCACTATGATACGATACATTTATCGTATACACTATATTCAGGGAATGGATCTCAGCATCTCTGGTATGTACTGAATATTGGAGCCGTGTGTATCCATGAAAGACTTGTCAATCTGAGGTTCTGTATAAATGTTTTTTCCCCTCCATTCAGTTTCTTGCCGACGAAGCATTTCCTGGAGCTATAGACATTTCCCCACCCTGACCACCTTCTCGAGGAGGACACTGAAATACAATAAAATCAAGTGCTGTACTTATTATCAATAAATATCTATCAATTAGAAAGCACTTTATTACATTGTAGATATTCAAATGATTTACTTGAAAACTCATTCAAACAACTTTGTATACTTGGCACCTAGTCTTTGTTTAATTTCAAAATTCAATCTTTTTACAGCATGTGATCCACTAAGCCAGCTTTCCTGGATAATTTTCAAGTAATTACCAATTTCTCCATATGTCACCGACTACTAATCCCACATGATTTCTGAAACAGCCATAAGAAACAAATGACCATTAAACTCTATGTCCAAGATTAATTGTCACAAAAAAACTACATCTTGCCTGAGAATCTAACCAACATCCCCTGGATTACTAATCCAATGCTCCCCCTACTGAGACGAGAAGATTGTGTGGAAAGTTACTAACACAACATTTGGTTAATAGGGAACCACTGTTGATCACATGTACACTGGTGACTTAATTAAAATGGAGACTATACCTTTACATTAATTTGGTTTTTTAATACAGCTGATCTAAGTATAAGGGCTTTTGTTCGTCTCTGGTATTCTTTTCCCATCAAAAATGACTTCTCAAAAGTTGTGCTGCGTTGATCAGTGTCTTTTGCATATAAAATCTAAATAAACATCAAAATTTATTTTTCAATCATTACAATTATCTCAAACAAACTGATTTATTTTATTTATAATTTTACACACTTGTAGGATTGTTAAAACACATGTTAGAAAAATTTTCATGCTAAGTTTTTTTCTTTGAATCGCTATTGTTATAATTTTGGAACAATGAGAATCTTTAGTGATTGGGAATGGATTCCTATCAGACCCATAAATACAAAAGAAGTGAAAAGAAAAGCAATATAATTTACCTTGCTATGAGAATCTATTCTGGCATTGATTTGACCATCTAAAATAAGCTGCATGAGTTCATCTTCTAGATCTAAAACAGTTGTGTTGAATGCCAGGGCCATCTTGGACATATCAGCGGACAAGTATGGACTAAAGTACTGCAAATTTATAAACAATTTAATTCATTAAAGCTGCATACCTCCAAATCAAGAAAATCAATATTGAGAAAAATGCAATAACCTTTTAAGAAAGGTAAAAACATTCAAGATCCAAGTTATATTTTACATGTTATGTGCGGTTTAACACTGATTTTGCAGTATTTTATCACCATATTTCTACTGCGTTACTAACACAGGAAGGGCTGTTTTTGCATATGTTTACCATTTTTTGTTAATTTTCGTGACTTGCAACATGTAAATTAATTTATTTGTCCAACCCACATAATTTTACTTTTAAATACATTTCCAAAATTTTTATGAAAATTAACATGAATCTTTAAATATTCTTTACCATAACAATGTTTCCCTTACAATAATATGCCAGTTACTTTGACTAGTAAATAAAATCCCAGTTCTCACTAAAGATGATTTACACAAAAATCTTTAATATGGAAACAGTGATCTACGGAAAGAGCAGTTTTGCCAGTGCAGAATTTTTTTGCAAAGGTACTTCTGCCACTCCATAGTGGTATGAACATTCTTTCAATCTTTAATGCTACCTATTGTCAATTTATAATGACGACTAAGTATACCAGTTTTATTCATGATTATAAAATATCCTAAAAAATTCCTCTTACCTGACATAATGCTCGGTTTCTAATTTGGGAGTACAATGTTTTAACATGGGGAACTAGGTACATATCTAAGTATAAAGTATCCTGCAAATATAAAACAAAACACAATTATGATAATGCATTTTCATTCATAATATGGGCTGACAAAAAATTACTTTTTTTTCCAATCAATATTGTCAAAATAAAAAAATTCAAAATTCACTATTTGTAGCATAATATATAATATATTGGTGCTCATTTTATCAAAAGAGAAAGCATATTGTGTTTTCAACATGTTTCATCAATAAAAACATTAACATTGAACTAGGTATAAATTGCTGGATTATAATTTTACTTTTATTCTTTACTATTATTCTATTTTGATCGATTTTGACTTAATAAGACACTCTTGAAGTCATGTAACAACTATCTTGTCTTTCTAGTGAAAGAAACAATTTCTATTGCCACTATCCACAAAAGTCATCTGAACAGAATCAATAGGTTGGGGTGAGTGAGTGGGTAAGGCACTTGTCATTTGACCAAGAAATGTGTTGGTTCAAGCACTTCAATGGGTTATCATCATCAATGCCTGACATACAATAATTACTCACAGGCCTGACATACAATAATTACTCACAAACAATATATATCTAAGAAACATACCTTTAATTCATCTAGCAATTTTAGACAAGATGCATAATTGGATTCATAAAATCTGTGGATAATATCACGAAGTTGGGGTTCAAGCTCTAAAAACAACTTGAAAGAACTGAAAATAAAAGTAACCAAGATATTGTTTAAACTGATTAAAGATATTATACATGAAGATAATTAATTTTATTCCTTAAATCTTATAGACCAACTGTTCAGGCTACTGTTTTTTTTCTTTCTCCAGGCTGGGAAGTATACAATAAGATTAATTTATACAATTCTTGCATTCCATACAGATTATTTAATACAACTCTACTCACATGATGATTTTTCTTTCTTTTTCAAGAATTTTTTAAAAAAATAATTAAGAATAAATACCAACAAATCAGGTTTTCTTCGAATGAAGCTGTACTGGTGGATTAGCCTCGATCATAAATTATTTTGACTAATTTATGTTTAAGGACTAATTATCATGGCAAAAGTTTACCTGCACAAAGAAGATGGTAAAAATCACAATGCCATTCCCATCTTATGTTTATATGGAATGTAAAACTTTTGCTGTTTTTTTTACATACAAAACAATTCTACTTGGAAAAAAAGTTCTCAACCAGTGTGACTCTGAAAGACATGATGTGATATAAAAAGATATATACCTGCTAGATATGACATTTTTCTGTAACTCCTGTCTGTCAAACGAAGCCAAGGCACACAGCGCACCGTATGTTGCCACATCATGTGGTGACAACAACTATAATATAAACAAAAATAAAGCTATGTAAATGAAATAAATAACAGCAGTTCTTGTATCAGCCCTCATGTTAAATATTATTTATTTATTACATTGTCAAGTTTTTACCTGTATTTGAATGCCAAATACACAAAGTAGAGAAGGAAGCCTATTTCTGTTCCAATCCCATTTGTATTTCACTAATTTACATTAACAATATATATATATTTTTTTCCCTTTTAAAGTCAAGCCCAATATTAATACAGTATAATAAGAAAAAATGATTAGGAGGAATTTCAAGTGGTCGTTACAGACAAAACTCGCTTAATGCATGTGGTTGCATTGGCAAGTTAGACTGTATAATGCCTGTTCATTATATTACAACAGACACTCAAGTTTTGTTAAAACACTCTACAGAAATGACTATAGGAGTAAGCAGCAATCTGATTGTACAGTTTAAAAGTATATTATAGCTTTATTGTATGTGTTTTAACATATGTTCTGTAAAACTCAGACCTACCTCTGGAAAATCACAGTGATCAAAACTAGCTAGAAGGAAATATTTGGCAGCTGATTTGTATTTTTTTGTAGCAAGGTCTGCAAGTCCAGCAGCACAACGTAATTTGGTTAACACTGACTGTCCACCATCTTTCCCATGCTATAAAACATAAACTATATAAAATATTGTCTATATTAAATTTCATATTGCTGGCTGACAGCAATAATGACCTGCCTGTAACATTTTACCTTTAACATTCTTAATTTTCTTGATGAATTTATCCTGCTTTGAATCAGAACAGCCCACTCAAATTTTGAAAGGTCTCAATATCTAAGTGTGAATATTAAGCTACTAATAGAATTGATACAGTCTGGAACTGGCTCTATACTAGTGGCAAACACTAATCACATTCCAACAGGTAATAGGTTAAAGAAAGACAGTCCAGCCGGCACTCCTGTGTAGCCTGGCAAAAACATACTAAATTATATCTGAAATACTTTAAAACTAACTGTTGCAATCTGCTACTGATAGCATAAAGTAATTTTATGAAACTTAGCAGCTGCCTGTTGAGATCTTAGATTAACGTGCAGGTCACTTACATTTTCATTATAACAAATACTGAATAGTTTTATAAAGACCAGACAAAAGGAGGTATGAAAAGAGTAAAAGTAATTACCTCTGTTACTTCTGGCGTGCTTTCTGCTTTATTTACATAACTCTGTACATGTGACCAATTCTGTAGATACACACTCACCTGACAATATAAAGAACATGCTATTTGATGAAATATAAACTATATCAATGAAATATATGTCATATTAAACAATTTGAAACAGAGTGATAGAGTTTTATATGCATTGAAAGAATATAGCAAAGAAGAATATATTTCACTATAACAGGTAAATATTTTCATGATGTCATGGATATCTTTATGTGAATAAGTCATTTGGCACAAATTTTGTAACCCTTTGTCTAATAGAAAAACAATAGAATACGGCCAAGTACAAAAAAAATAATTTGTCTGCTTAAAGTAAATATGGAATAAATCTTGCTTGAAAGTGTACTCTTAAACTTGCATTTTAACATTTCTTGAAAATGAATAAAAAATCACTTTTATATGATAGTATGTTTCATATTTTCACTAAAAACATATACATGTATATATATTCTAAATATTTTGTTCAAAACAAAAATAATATATATTTCCAGTGTTTACAGTTTTATGTAAATTGGCTAACTTGTTATCCAATCGCTACACTGAGATAATACATAGTCGCTGGTTGACCTGGTTTGCACAAAAGAACACATGGTTATGTTTGTGATACTGTTTGTGCAATGAATGGAAAAGGTGTGGCTAAATGTTCCGCTACGAAAAACCAGAAAGGTCCATTGCAATGTTTCTTCCTTTACAGCATTATAAAATTGGTTATAATGCAAAATGTAAACCTGTGCTCAAGGTATGCATTCAGACAAGGTTTATCTATCTATGTATATTAAAAATCAACTTTCAGTACACAGAAAATACAATGATAAGACTTCAACCAAAGCAACACTTGTTTAATACAATTTCGTATGACAAAAACATAAATATATTAATATTTTAAGAATCACTATTTACAGGACTGTGTGCACAATCACAGTATCTAGAGAACAATGTACACGCACCTTTATGACATTTAGACACATATTTACAACATGTTTTGGGCTAGTACAATAGTCTCTTGCCCTAGAATAGCACTTCAACGCATTACTTAGATCACCGCAGTCCAAATAATGATCCCCTAAATCATCATGACCACGTCTGAAAAAAAAAATACCCCAACATTAATTCACTTAACCATATACGTATTTTCAAAAACAAGCTACACATGGAGGCAAGTTTCTGGGCAAGATGAATATCTACATTTTAAAGTTAAGCAAAATATTTAATGGCTTCCGATGCCTTACAAAATGTTAACTTTTTGTTATAACATGTTTAAACCACATTTTTAACTACTTTTTTTCAAAATGAATAACAACTTCAAACTTAGAAAATTGACAATTGATATTATTAAGAACTTAATACCTAATACTTTCTTTAATGGAATTGCTTTTATAATTTTTCAAGTCTGTATCTAATTTTTCCAGCTTCAGTGCTGCTTTCTTTGCTGTAGTTTCAATCCACTGTGCATCAAGTGGTGTTACATTGTGTATGGCTCCAGCTACTGCATCAGGTAAACTGGAATTTCTGTAAGAAAAATTTCATCTTTTAAACTTTATTACATGCATGCAAACAATACTTTTTTATGCACATGTACAAACTTTACAAATTTAACCATAGCTCAAGCTTTACATTTTCCAATTCAATTTCAAAGTATGTTTTTACTAATTTATGTTTTTTAAATTTATGAATAAATATAAATAGAATAAATAGAATAATATAAACAGAACCTATTAATATTCAAATAATCTTAAAATACTGTCAGCACTTTAAAACTTTTATAAATGAATATTTCTTTGCACAGACTTGTCCATCTTTCAATTCTGACAAAATTGTTCATCATTTATTCAATTCTGACAATATAAAAATATAAACTGGCTAAAAGGCAAACAGGGAAGACTATAGACTATAGTCAGTGCTGGGTGCTTTTGGTTTGCACTGGTAGCATAGTAAGCATCAGTTGTCGCGAGCAGGCTAAATTTTAACTATTTAAATTCAACTTACGATGAAACGGCTTCCTGTAGTTTTCTATATATTTGTTGGTACATGTTTGTATTATAGGTGGTCATCACATATGATAAAGCCATTCTGAGGGCATCTAACTTTAGTGGTGGACAGTGGTCAGCAATAAATCGTAACCGGTTCAACTTGGCCAGGCCTGTATACTGGCTGGCATACTGCTCCAAATCCTGAATGTAATATTTGAATAATGATAAGTACTGTACAAGATAATTACAAGTAGTTATAAAAGAATTCAAGACCAGAAAAATGCAAGCCATTTAGACTATAGTTGTTTGCAATGTCTACTAAGTAACCTAATTAAGTTTTACAAGCCAAAAATATTTGAAACTGGAAGTGGAAGGTAAAATGATAATGATCAGTGTGCAATCAGTGCTAATCTTTTGAAAAACACAGTAATATACTTTTAGACAAGTTAAACAATGCCATACACTTATATGTGTTAAGTATTACCAGTGATGTTGCTTCAACAATGTATTGGACATCTTCAATATTGTCATTTTCTTCTGGAGCAGTATCAACCTGCATTGGCTCAACTGCAGCCTGCAAGAAAAATAAATCATACAAAGCCTTCAAGACAGCACTTTAAAGAAACACTGGGCAGCTGTCTGTAAGAGTACTAAGACATGTCATTTGAATATTTTGCCATTTTAATTTCATTTTGATTTAATTCTTCCGATTCCTTGTTTTTCAACTTTTTGGCACACATTATGTACTTGGGTACCATTATAGGCTGTTAATAAGAGTGTTGTCACTTCTGTATGAACAATTTCCTATGCATTTCTTAATTCAAAATTTCACAATATTCATAGTCAAATGTTTAATTCTGCCTATAATATATGCAAGTTTTTTTATACCCATCAGCGATATTTTCAGTATCATTACTTGGTGGGCGCCACCATTTTTAATGTAACTCAATGATAAACAGCGCAGAGTATTTCAATATAAACAGACCAATCACAATTTTTTGACTTAACAATAATCGCTGAGGTGTTCTAATTGAAGGAAACAGGACGTTTCGGCCCCAAACCAAATCGGCCCCAGTCGAAAAATCGGCCCCTGGACGTTTCGGCCCTTTTCCGCGAGACGTTTCGGCCCCACTATAGTATATTGCTTGATTGATTAACAACAATTAATTTAATAACAATTAAACAATTACGTTAATTGTTTTTAAAGGTGTAACAAACAATAAAGGCAGGTTACTTAATTTATAAAACAAACCACTTAAACTTCTGAATTAAGAAAGTTAATTACAATTATTACTTAGAAAACATTATCTTTTGATCTTAATTAAACTATACGTAATTTTTTCAAGGTGTAACTAATTAACTTTTTATAGCTTTATGCCAATTGGCGGTAAGTAATATCAGAGAAAACTTCAAAAGATATGAAAAAACGGTTTGCTATAATCTCATGATAATATTTTTAATTATTATTGCTATTAGATAATGAAAGATGCTAGATGTTATAAAACTGATTGAAAAACTGAAACCAAATTATAAATGCTATGTATGCCTGCTATAGATAAGTTATAACATTCGAAAATAAAGTATACTATAGACTAAGACTAAAAAAGTGTCTGTTCACATTTGTTTCGTTTCAAGTAAAATTGTTTAACTGTTCTGTACTTGTATTTTCGCATCCATCAAACTCGTCACTGTTAAATAGTTGTTGATGATAATTTAATGTCTGTCTCATGTGTTGTTTTGTGTCTTGCTTCTTAATCTTTCAAATAAAATATTATCTATATATGTTGTAAATAATTGTTTGTTTGTGTATTATATTTTTTAAAATAAAGTTTATGTTCTGTTCTGTTTGTATTAATAAAATATTATCTATATATGTTGTAAATAATTGTTTGTTTGTGTATTATATTTTTTCAAATAAAGTTTATGTTCTGTTCTGTTTGTATTGATTACTTTTCCCCTACTACTATTATAATCTAGTTTTTATACAAAATGATTAAATATATATATATTAATTGATTCATTTAATCATTGAAATGCTATTAATATATCGGTTTAAAATACAGTACATATTCTGGGGCCGATTTGGTAAAGGGCCGAAACGTCTTGGGTAGTTTGGGGCCGATACGTCTCAAAATCTAATTGAAAACGAAAGTGGTGCATAAAATACTGTTACATATTAAAATGACAAATATTAAATTAAAAAACTGATTTGTTCAGAGGCTTTGCATATTTTGATATTATTATTAAAATATTAAAAAAGGTTGAAAGCCAATGGCGTGCAATCATAGCAATAAAAGATAGGCCTACTTCTAAAATTGTTTTTACTTTTTAGATAAATGTGTAAAATAATGAAAATGACTTGCATTTTTTAATAGGATTTCTGTTATACAATGAATTAAGGCTGACTTACTTAACAGATGAATGAATAAACAGTTCTGTTCATGTCATTCGAATATAAAACTGCAAGACACTTCAATGATAACTACCTAGTACCTAGACAATACAAAATTTATTCTTTCAAATTTTACTGAACCACTAAAAATGGCACTCAGGGCCTTTTCACTAGTTTTGGGGAAGGCGCCCTAGCCCTTTTTGTGGGGAAAAAATGCGCGATTTCCACACTTTTGGGGAAAATATCATATTTTCACACATTTCGGGGGAATATCATAATTTATTTGCATATCTTCCTCCAATCACATTTAAGGTTTACTATAGTACTAAGCTTTCTGTCCAACAGGAGTAAAAAACATTTTTTACAGATCAATTTATTGACCCTTTATATTAACTCATATTTTCTATTTATAGTATTTTATGTTGGTCATGTGAGGGTTCTTGGTTTGATTCAGAGGGTACATTATTATCAGTTTACACTGTATTACTGGCACTGATGTGCTAGGCTCGCTATTTCCGACAGTTGGGCATGTTGTGCTACTCGGACACAAGGTCATCAATTCATCCAATTTTTAATAAACAATTACAAACGTCACTCAATCGTATTTTCTCCTTGTTCTGTGACATTGTTTACATTAGTGACATCATATCGGTCGCCATATTGTCGTAACAAATCACATGTGCACTAAAAAATAAGGCAGCAGGGATTTCCCATGAAAGTTGCAAACTCAGACTGAGGCTCTGAGTTAACATCAATTGTATTAAATCAAGGTATCCCTCTATTGGGTTATTGAATTATTTAATAGCTTTCATTGGACAAAACAATTATCTATTTTAAAACAAGAAAGTTTCTTTACAAGTTTTATTCTTCAGTTAAAGGGGAAATATTTGCCAGTGGGGGAAATTTAGACTGTTTTTTGGGGAAAAAAGGTAGTAATTTGGCTTGGGGAAGTAGCCTGATACAGGCTACAGCAAAGAAGGGGGAAAAGGCCCTGGCACTATGCATGGAAATAACAAAAACAGCTTTGCTGTATCTACATTCCACAAACATATGGAACGTTTTTGCATGGGAGATGTCCAAAATTATTTAAAAGTTTGTTCAATTGATGACAATTGTAAATATTACGTTTAACTATCTCGCGAATATTTGTAACAAATAAAATTTGATCCGCCATTTTGAGTTCTCCGAGGTCGAAACCAGCGGTTTCAACCAAAATGGATAATAACACCAGCCAACGTGGTTGACAATCGAACCAGCTGTACATTTCAGATAAAAGAAATATGAATTTATACGTTATATAATAATAACCTGAAATAATCCTTGTTGAATTGGCAAAGGCATAATTTTAAGGAAAATTGCCGGCCAAACCGGATGTCATTACTACGCATGCCCTAAATTTCATCAGACGCTTGACGGAACCTACTGGTTACGAAGTACTAAAATTAGATTGTAGTTATTATTAAATCATATAACCGCTCAAGGAGTCCTTAATTGGTATTAATGTTGTAATTGTTTGAACATTGCCGACTATACTATAATATACTTGTTTGAAAAGTGAAGCATTGGTCAGCACACATCAATCAATCGTATCTGTCATGTTTTTGAAAAAGATAACAAAAAGTAAATGAATTAAACGTAGAATGAAGTCCGGAGGAATTGATATAGATTCTATTTGAATTAGAATCGTGCTTCTTGAAAGTGACGCATGGTAATGTATATGCTAATTAGTTTCACTTTTTAACTAATATGAAAAAGGCAAAGCATCAAAGCGAGCTCGATGCACTTTTTACGTGAAATAGTATGAAATAATCGCTCAATTTTATTTCAAATGCAGTAACGAGTGCGTGTGACGTCACACGTACTGTGTTAAATATGGCTCCGCCCCTGTCGTGAAATGAATAACGAGTTTTGAAAACGTTGATAAAACTTTGTTTATTTTTGTTTCACTCTATAATTTTTTCAAGCGAAATAAAGATTATCTAAAGTGAAATAAATGTAAAAACTTAAAACGTTTGCGACATTAAAATAGCGTACTTGATTTGTTTGTTTTGCACGTGCTGTTTGGCGCTACATTGTGACGTCAAGTAAACAATACTTTAAACGTCTGTACAGCGTTAACGACTGAATAAAAGATATTGGTGTTCGGATTTATTTTCTTAATTAGACCATTTTCTTTCATTCTAGATAGTTTTCACAACAAAATTCAACAAAAAATTGTTCTTATTTATCAGATTTTTCAAACAAAATGGCGCCTTCAATTATTATTTTTGGCTGTGACTAAAAAAAGGATTGGAGCACCACACTTAATACCGTATTCCGGTATATACCGGACAAGGCGCTTGAATGATAAAATGCTAAAATCTTGTCTTTTTACCCAACGGAATGAACTTTAACAGGTCTAATTCATCTTTTCACGCCGAATCAAGTACGATAAATAAGGAAAAATGTAAAATTCGGCGAAAAAAAACGATATTTGTCTAATTTGTGCTCATGATTTCTGCAAGCGTCTAGAGGTACTGCTCCAATCCTGTATTGAGCTAAATCCTTTCAGGCTTTTTTTTATACACAGCTTCCGTTATTCTGGTTCCTTGTCCAATTATGGTTCCCATAGACGTGCGCGGGTGACCAGTCTACACATCCGTTTTCAGTCAGAATTCCTCAGTTTTTATCGTTATCTTTAAATTCGAAAGGTTGCGATGTGTCCAATTCGGTACTTTGGACGAAAGTTTTCAAAACCATCACTTAGCAGGTACTCGCGTTACCGTAAAGCTCGCTTTGCGAGCAGGCCCTTCGGGCCAGCTCGTCGAGCTCGCTATAAACATACGATGAAATTACAGAGCTGACATGAAATCCAGCTAACGGACGGACGGACGGACGACCAAACAGATGAATAGATTCTCCAAACATGTACAATGTACGCTCTCCAACTGAATCGGACGTACTTAAATTGCCCTGTGACCATGATAAAACAGAATAATGTTAATTGAGAAGCGTGTTCAGCTCAAAAAGTTTCTCACCTAATATGAAATTAGGCAAAGCCTATGAACGGGGAAGTCGGTAAAAAATCCTTTCATTTTTCCGTTTTAAAGGTGTCATTTGGTATTATATGTACCCACTTCCGTTTTCACTCGGAACACTCGACGATTATTGTTAATCCGAAAAGTTGAGATTTGTTCCGTAATCGGAATACACCGCCTTTTATCATTGAGTTACATTGTAAATGGCGGCGCCTAACTAGAACTGACACTGAAAATTTCATTGATAGGTATAGAATTCTATATATATATATTTTTTTTTTAAATTTGAATTTTCTTTTAAATATACACGTGTAGTCTATAGCCGGGCAAGCCAAAGCCCGGGCCCGCTGTGCGGGCCCGGACTTTGACTTCCCCGTATAAGTGGAAATACTTTAAAAATTGCCATGGTTTCTGATAGCATGTGAATTTTACCCACTTGACAGTCAAATAACATGTTCGAATTTGAGAGTTAATGATTTCCCCCAATGCTTTAAAACCGACAGTTTCAATGAAATTGTCTAACAAGTGTTGGCCAAGATGTTGGAATGAAGCAATTATACAGATGCAGACATTTTTTTAAAAAAATAAGCATTGTACATTACATAATCACTCGAAACTGGGTTACAGTAACCCAGTCCGAAAGTGTTATCATAAGGCGAGGATAGTGCCAACAAAAAAGTGGCGCGTATTATGAAACTGTACACGTGGCATTAGTTTTCTACATTTTTATTTCTTTTTATTTTGAACAAACAAAAAGTAATTCAAGTTTGTAGTCATTTTTGCGGAGTTGCTTTGAACAATTTTAGAGAAATAATAATATTTGAATCTAAAAATATTTGGAACAAAATGCAACAATTTACATTAATGTAAATTTTCAATTTTACGAAATTATAAAAATTAAAATATTTGCCAAAAAATAGTTCGAAAGAGCTAGCTACATATTTATATCATCCGCACTCGAATCTTTAATGGAAATGGTTCTTGAGCACCAAAGTATTAAACAGCACGCCTCCAGATTCCTGCTAATTTCATAAAAAAATTTATCACACACCCGTGCCGATTTTGCGACTCCGTAAATATGGTATTGCACGACCGTGCATATATTTTGGCGTGACGTCATTAACGTTATACAAACATAGTGTAAAGACGCGCTAAATGTTAGCGTTATACTATAGGCGCGTCACTGAAAAATGACTCTTATTTCACTTTAAACGGTCGTTATTTTGGGTTTGTGATAAATAAAATATTAAATTCGTGTAAGTTCATTACTGAATTTATTGCACTCGTTGAATAAAATGATATTATGCACGCCAGAGGCTCGCATAATATATTTTTTTTCAACTCGTGCAATAAATTCAGTCATTACTGAATTTATTGCACTCGTTGAATAAAATGATATTATGCTCGCCAGAGGCTCGCATAATATAATTTTTTTGCAACTCGTGCAATAAATTCAGTATTGAACTTACACTCCTTCAATAGCCTCTATGTATTAACAAGTAAAATATATTGTGAAGTGAACAAAGAAAATAATTTACACATTGCATACGGCACTTACGTATACAGTCCATGTAAATTACCAAAAACGATGTCAAAACACGCAAAAATAGCCTTTACTGCATGCGTTAGAAACGCAGCAGAAATATATTGTGAAAAATATTGCAAAATCGGTCATGAATAGCACATAATTTAACATACAAATTATTACTTTTATCTTGAATCATTTTACTTTTCTAAAAATCTGAGTACATTTTTGATTTTTGACATATTTTGGCTTATCTGGAGTCAAGCGGATTTAAATGCCTTCCACCAGTACTTATGTATTTGACACCTTAAGTCTACTGTAGCCCATATGCCAATTACTAAAATATAGACAGTATCCTATACGTGTTTGGCTGTTTCTAGAAGCTCGGTAAAGAGTTTTAGGATCTATAACAACTTGTGCTTTGTATGTTTTATAATGCTCACACTTTACCTGACACCTTTTCTTTTAGTCTTTTGGTTACAGGACTGTTTTGCATTATACATGTACAAATAAGGTATATTATATATAGAAATACAAAGAAGGCCATTACGCCTCTGAAATACTATCATTTTTATTTCTCAAAAACTGTTAATTTTTGGTATTTTGTTACAGTTTCCAAACACTGACTCATTTGCTATCTGCATAAACTATATTTTGTTGCTTCTTTAGCTCTTTTTGCATATTGTATAATTTTAGTGAATTAGTATTTTGTATCACGGATTTATATTACATTTTATTATTATTATTATAAAAAATAAATTAGATATTTGAATTAAACAAGTATTTTTCTTCAAAATAAACTTTAAATTTCCAAAATCGGATAATAAATCGAAAAGCTATATGGTATTTTGTAAAGTAGGTATCCGTTGCGAACGGGCATTTACGCTTATCGGGTGCGCGACAAGATATTTAAGCATTTATATAGGGTTAACTGGGAGTGTCCGATCATCCGTGTTTGTATGGAAGTCAAAATACTACTTTGTTTATATTTTGCTACCTTTAAGACAAATAACTAGTTCGGCGCTATTTTTTTCAGTTGTAAAACATCTAACATGATTTAAACATTATTAAACACACGTTTGACATTTCTAAAGAATTAGAAAATAGGCATTTCTGTCATATGTTTTATCTAAATACACATGTTCTATCTATAACAGTAATGCGCATGCCCATTTTCTTCCCGCCAGTCATATACTTATATGCTCAAGGTCTTTCTATTTGAAATACCCTGGTATTAGTTGCAATAATATATTATTAAACTAAGTCATATACTTGGAACATTCAGTGGTCACTAGCAACAAGTGTCTGTGTTATATATTACACGTGCACGCTCTGTGTACATATTAACAAATAGATCCATAATACAGTTTGTTTATATAACTATTTTATCACACACCCGTGCCGATTTTGCGACTTCGTAAATATGGTATTGCACGGCCGTGCATATATTTCGACGTGACGTCATTAGCGTTAACAAACATAGTGTAAAGACGCGCTAAATGTTAGCGTTATACTATAGGCGCGTCAATGAAAAATGACTCTTATTTCACTTTAAACGGTCTTTATTTTGGGTATGTGATAAATAGAATATTAAATTCGTGTAAGTTCGTTACTGAATTTATTGCACTCGTTGAATAAAATCGCATAATATAATTTTATTCAACTCGTGCAATAAATTCAGTATTGAACTTACACTCATTCAATATCCTCTATTTATTCATGCTTAATCATAAAAATCAGTTTTTATAACATAATTTCGCTTATTTTGAATGTCAAAGCTACACACAAATACATGATTTCGTCTCTCCTTGGACATTTTGATACTTGATCATAAAAAAATCTCAATTTTTTGCTATTTATTATACACATAGATGATAATCTCCTCACAGAAATTTAAAAAAAAAGATATAGGAAAAAATGAGGAAATGCGTTTATATAACATGATAAAAATCTGTATGAATGACAACTTACTCGTATAAGATGCTATATTAACATTTCGGCATCTCAGGTAGGCCAATAAGCGTTTTTTTTCTGGATGCGAACTAGTATTAGAAAAAAAAAACAACTTATACTCATAGACATTATTAGTATAAATAGCTGCCTAAGTGTCGTTGGATCAAGTAGATCTAGTATTCACGAGGAAATATGAAAATATAATTCGTCTTGCAGTAACGATTAAACGTGTCTGTAAATATGACTATAAAACACGTACGGAGAACAGTAAAAAAATAATACATTTGTAATTATAAAAGTTCTTGAGTGGAAATATAGTTAGTGTTCATTCCTGTATACGCAAGCGATACATTTGTTGGCAGCGATTACTAATAAAACAGTGTTCAATCTTTCGCTTAATGACTATAACTCTTCGGAAGGGATACGTAACGGGAATTTTCAACATTCTTTTCTTACAGTGTATGGTGTTAAAACTGATTTTTGCAACTGAATGATGATTTGTTAATCAAGATATACATTTAGACTTTGTAAAAATGGGTAAATTGATAGCGTTTGACATTGTTTTGAATAATAAACAACCGGTATACATTGCCGGGCAAAATATTGAAGGTCATGTGACATTGGAATTAAGTGACGTCATGAAAATGAGAGGTTTGTTTTCTATTACGTCTTGATATTTCATTGCGCCTCCTAGTTTGTAATTTGATAAATTAATGACATATTCTCACATGTGTGTTTAATAAGTGGTAATTTTATTGATTTTTTAGCAAAGAAACTAATACGGAAGGAGTGTTTTTAATGACTTTTCAGAAAAAACGATCGAGATTCTTGGTGTAAAACTTGCGAACATCAGTAAAATTTTGGACGAAAAGAAGACCTTCACATATTTATTTTTTCGTTTTCTTTTTGCTTTCATAGAAGGTTAAAAACTTATGTGTAATATGTATGCCATACAGCATAGGCACTTAGTTTCGGGATAAAAACCCTTTGAGAGGTTTGTCCCCCCCCCCCCCAAAAAAAAAAAAAAAAAAAAAAAGAAAAAAAGGTAGCACAGTGTTTTTTAGAAACATCAGAAAAAAATGGCGGTTTTAGAAAAGAGACAACTACGTTAAAACATAGTTTCATTCAATTAAATTTGAGTTATACAAACCTCTCAAAGTGTTTTCTTATCCCATTCCGTAAATGAGACAAAAAAAAAATCGAAAAATGTTGGACAACTTGAAATATTTAAGAAAATCAATGAACAAAAATATCAATGGTAACAATACTAGACCGAATATAATCACTACACGAGTATAGACCCTTTCCTGATGTTTTTCTTAAATTGACTTGTCCAGCAGTTAATAATTATAAAATTTGGGAAATTCAAAGTAAATGAGCCAACAGTACCTGCTCAGACTGCATGGCTGTGCAGACTGGCCTAGCTTAATACTAGTAGCAAAGGTTGTTCAAGGGTTAAGGGTTTAAAAAATATTAGATAATTATAATGGTGAATGTTATGGTTGCGTTTATCTTAATAATAATTATTGATAAGCTACGGACTTTTTTTATATTATATAACGTTTTTTAGGAATTGCATGCAATATAATTTTAGTAATACTGGTATGCTAAATGTTGTCATTTAGTATTTTCGCATTTAATTGACTTGTAACTCAGGTCATAAATTATACATCTCGAATACTATGTTGACAAGTCATTCATTTTCTCTCGACATAACATATTCCAGTGAAGCATGTCGACATACCATAGCATGTCCTTCCCTACATTAACGAACAGGATGTCCGGTATACGCTTCCATAGGTATTTCACAATATATTTAAAAGACATATTATTTTCTACTCGCGTAGTTAAACACTGATACTGAAAGTAAACTATCTAAATAATTGTGATTGTAATATTAGAAAAAATGACAAAATTAACAACGTTTACAATAACTGTTCATTCACCGAAAACAGTTTATTATGCCGGTCAAACTGTTGATGGCTCTGTGACGGTTGAATTAAATGAATCCATGAAAATGAGAGGTAAATATTGTTTTCTTAATAGCAAATACTTATGAAGATACTGTATTGTTACTACATGTATTGTGACCAATTCTGAACAGTCTACATGCAGTTGATCTACTTAATTAAAACGTGAACGAAACATATTTTATAAGATACGGAGTTCCGTTTGGACAATCTTGTTTTATTTTAATTCGTCCTTACCACCGATCCACGATGGTACGATGGTGAAAACGCTATTGTACGATGATACGATGATAAAAATACGATAATGCGATGTTGAGGATGGTGAAATCGCGATGTCGCGATGGTAAAATCGTGAAAACGTGACGTTATACCGCGTTTTCACCATCTTGCCATCATGTTTTCACGCCATCGTACTCTCGCTTACTCTCGCCATCGTGCAATCGCGCCCATATACAATTGCGTTTTCACAATCATGCCATCGCGCCCTTATGCGTTTTCACCATCGTGTCATCGCGCCATCGCGTTTTCACCATCGTGACATCGTACAATCGCGTTTTCACCATCGTGACATCGTACCATCGCCTTTCCGACACTCTAACTTGTGTACATGTACATACAGAAATATAATTAAACCTATGAAGTTTGATTATTGACACGTTAGTATTTTAAACTTTTTTTACTATCTGCCATATCAGAATCTGACATCTTTCTGTATGTTCCCGAAAGGCGATGGTACGATGGCGCGATGGCACTATGGCACGATTGTGAAAATGCGATGGTACGATGGCGCGATGGGCACGATTGTGACTACGCGATGGTACGATATGGCATTATGGCACGATGGTGAAAACGTAATGGTACGATGGTAAAATCGCGATGGAACGATGGTAAAAACGCGATGGTTCGATGGTGAAAACACGATGGCGCGATTAGGTGATTGTACGATGGCGAAAGCGCGATGGTACGATGGTGAAATCGCGATGGTAGGATTATGAAAACGCAATATTTTTGATCACCGTACAATCGCGATTTCACCATCGTACCATCGTGTTTTCACCATAATACAATCGTGTTATCATCATCGTACCATCGTGTTTTCACCATAGTACAATCGTGTTTTCACCATAGTACAATCGTGTTTTCACCATAGTACAATCGTGTTTTCACCATCGTACCATCGTGTTTTCACCATAGTACAATCGTGTTTTCACCATAGTACAATCGTGTTTTCACCATAGTACCATCGTGTTTTCACCATCGTACCATCGTGTTTTCACCATCGTACCATCGTGTTTTCACCATAGTACAATCGTGTTTTCATCATTGTGTCATCGTACCATCGCGTTTCCACCACCGTATCTTCGTACATGGCGGGAAAATGTTTATTTTTGTATTTTCTGATCGCAAGATCAGTAAATACATAGCTAACATCCACGGTCTAACACAAAATTTCCTAACAGACCTAACAACGCAAAGTAGTTCTCACTCAAAACTGCTTAAAAACCAGCAATTTAAAAGACATAATAATTTTTAATGTAGGCATTTAACGAATTACAGTGCATTGAAAGTTCAGATTAGTCAATAGAAATATGAGGTTACAATCACAAATTTCGCGGATGAATATCATTTTAATCAATGAAAATGCTATTTTACTGAATACTCCAGGGCGTAGTACACAAATAAATCTGACTGCCGAGTAGTGGAATATATACATGTCGGACTGTTTTGGCGAGAAGATTTTCGCTAAATTATTTTTTATCAGTGTTAAACAGGTTTATCGTGAACAAAATACCTCGAAATTGATAAGGATTACAAACACGAAATGAAAATTCTCAATTTAGAATTACAATGTATTTGTTTTTATTCAGGCTACATATTACGTATTACTTCACCGTGGTGCAGGGGTATCGCGCTCGTATCGCGCTCGTTTAGGGTGTGAGAGGCCTAAGGTTCAAAACCTTAACGAGGCAACTTTTTTTTTGAAGTGTCTTTTTTAAGGAAGTAAACCACGATATGCAAGGATAAAGTGTGGCTGTCATAAAAAATGATTTTTGATGCAACTCGACTAGTCATGCAAAATTCCATATGTACCAATCTCAAACTGTTATAGAAAAAAATCTTAATGCAGTCGCTGCGTAAGATGAATTATAGTATATAAAAATAAACTTATATAGGAAAATACATACAGATAGTCAGTATGATTTAAATTCCAAAGATCAGAAAATACCACAGAGCTTGCAGCCCTTTGATTAATACATAGCATAATGGAGCTGTTCTGCCTATTGCGGTTCAGTTAATGTTCAAAGCACAAATATGGGTCAGAAATTAATAAATTTTTCATTCTTTGGAAAAGTCAAACATGAGTTTATAATTGTTAAATAATGGTTTCAGAGCATTTTATATGCTTATTACCTGTAGAAATGAAATTATTTGTCATAATCGTAGCAAAATGTAAACAAAGTATTCTTACACTCCTCGTGATTTTGTTACAATACACAAGAGAAAAAAAAACGTGTTAAACTGCCAGTAAACACCGGTAAGGGACAACATGTTTCGGCTGTTATTTTTTCTCCCTCGATACGGTAGTTCACAAACTTTTTGAAACAACAATAATAACGCAGTTTTATTGATATTTTCCGTTCTTACAATATTTTCTTTTCATGCTTAAATAATATCTTACTAACACTACCGCCAAAGGTCTGATCCATATCAGTTCATAAAATTTCCCTAAAATTTATATGACAAATCGGCGCTAATTAGTATGCAGCGTGATGAAGTAACTTTTACTACTCATTCATTAAACTGACAAGAATGATAAATCGAGCACGGATGTAAAAACTATACAATCCAGTCTGACACACTTGAAAATAACTTTTTCCAATTTTTTCTTTTGTTTAATTTCTATATCCTAGCGACTTTAGGATGCGAAATCGAACAGCGCTATATGAAAATCGGCACCGGAAGTAATAATAAAAGTGATCTTTCTTATTTTGTCTTGTTAGGATCGAAATTATATCGGTCTAAGCAGTGTTTATCGGGCTAATTATAACACCGGTTTTGTTGTTTTGATGCGAAATATTAACCACTCGGGCCTACGTGGTCAATTCCTACTCATCAAAACCGGTGTAAAATAGCTGATAAACACCGCCCAGACCGATATCATTTCTTAATAATTTTAACTTCATTTCAAAATACTAGATCTATATATTCTCACTAATATCCAGAATGCAACTGAAGCAAAAGATGGTTCAGGTAATTGGCCAATTAGCAACTTTCCGGAAACTATAACAGGACACACAAAAAAAAAAAAATTCAAAAGCATTTCTATAGCATATTGATGAATTGTGTCAGAACAGGCATTATGTTAGCGTCATATGATGGTGGCAATATATCTTTTAATTTTAAATAAAAAAGCTTATAATGTTTCATTGATTACTTTGATCAAGACTCCAAATCACTGCGGTATACCGTACCCCGGATATTGCTCGATATTATGAGGACTTTCATCCCATTTCGCGACTTTGAACGAGGAAAGAAGGTATGTTTAGTGACGATATTTAGTCATTTTGAATTGGTTTGATATAAATTTTGTAGAAAAACAAATACTACGATAATTTCTCTAGTTACTGAAACCCCAAAAATGTTGAGAAATAGCTTTGAAATGTAATTAGGAGGTAAAAT